ATTTTCTATCAGTAGACAAGAAAGATAAAATAGTTTGCATAAACAATAGGCTATTTTATAACAATGTGCCCGGTGTATTGAGTCTGACAGACCTTACGTTCAAAATATGAGAAGAAATAAATTCCAATTTTTCTTTTATTTTAGACATAATGTGCATTAAAATACTTTTGTATGTTAATTTTATCCTTCCTAAACAGTAGTGAATGAAGATATTCTGTGTACAAGGTATTATCGCCGTATATTTGACTTTTATTTTGACATGGTTGAAAATGTTCCCCTACACATGCTTAATTCTAGTGGAATTATCAAATTCATTTCAAGAAAAAAAAGTAAGTTGATGAAAAAATCTTTTATCTTTTTTATATATTTGCAATATACTTTTCAATATAAAACATTTCCCCTTTCAATTTTTTAAATAATTTATTTTATATTCCTCTTGTTAAAATCATAGGTCAAGATGTACTCAAGAGCGAATTTAGAGCCAATTCATAAATCTCGTATATAACTATATATATCACACCGCCGAAACACTAGATTAGTGTCGAGTCAAGTGATTTGAGGTATGTGGCTGATGGGAGCCACTTTTTTTTAAACTAAATTATGTTTTGATATGGTTGAAACGACGTAATAGATAGACAAGATGATTATTCAATATCAAAATACTATCGTACAAATTTTTGGCAGTGTGGACATTATTAAGAAAATTATAACATTTGTCTACGAACTTTATGTACAACATTCGCATTAAGTTTACTGGGTTTTTATTTTTATTCAAAGTAATAAGAGTTGCTGAAAGTGGTGTAGAGAAGGAATTCTCCATCAGAATCAATCAAATGTGTTTACATGAATAATGACTGTGATATCTTTCGTGCCTCTTTCATTTGACGAAATTGCAGCACTGTTAAGGTGTACTAGGTAGGAAGAAATCAACGGAATATAAACGTGCATAAATACATATCTTTTTAAACTGAATTTAATTTTTTAAAGCTACTATATAATCACATGACTTTAATCTTAATTGAAATAACATTGTATACCCCGCTCTGTATGGAATTTGGTTTGGTCACTTGATAAATGCATGTGATATATGTACTGTATGTAGGTCATAAAGAAATTTCAATATCGTAAGGTCATACCCTAGTAAGAATTAAAAATTTCAGTAATATATTGTATCTATATAACTTGTAGTTTATGAAAAGTACTGCTACTTTAAATAGAATTCGCAGTTTATTAGTTTAAATTTCTAGTTATTTGACCGTGTAGTGTAGAGCAGCGCCGCGAGAATTCCATCGGCATCGAAAGCAAGTTTTTTTACTTGCGTAGATAGCCGAGCGGTATAGCGCGCTGTTCCTGTACTGCTAGGAGACAGATTCCGTAGGTCGAGAGTTCAACCCCGGGCTGGGGCAGAAGTGGGTATCCTTATAAAAGTGAATTTCTTTGTGCTTTCTATATTAATATTTATTCACTTAGGGCAGTTATGTTAGTTTAAGAGTTGTTGTAAAATGTGCTTTATATATATATATATATATATATATATATATATATATATATATATATATATATATATATATATATATATATATATATATATATATATATATATATATATATATATATATATATATATATATATATAAAAGCGATTCTGAATTTGATGTAGGAAGAGAGAATTTGAATTTTGAATTTAGACATTCAGATGTTTCCTCGTATATTCCTGTGTATATTTCCTGGTGAGAAACATATTTTCCATTTTTAAATGATTTTTGCAATATTTCACTCAGACAAATATTATCATCAAATCTTGGCTCATTTGTTTTTAAAAAATAATTTTTATTTGCGTTTCTTGTGCTCTAGCTGTCTTTTTGATTCGAAGAGACAAAATTGTCCTTCGTATTTTTCTTATTTAAGAGAATGGAAGACAATAAGACAATAGTTCTATTCTTGAAGCCACAGGGTCTGTTGCCATAAACTTAGAGTAGCTCAGTTTTTGCCTCAATATCACTTAAACACAACAGTTTATAGTTGAAAACTGAGACTGAGATCATCAGTGAGCTCACCTGTATTTTATGGCCCCTGGGCCAGGGCAATGTAGGATTTTGAATGACATAATTCTTATTCGGATTTCATATACATGTGCATTTCATAATTTATAACAACTTGTGTTTTTATACTCTGCTTACAGAAGTAGAGAAGCCCGTTGAGGCCAATTCAGAGAAAGAAATATTTTTTATTGCTTTTAAACGCAATAATTATTGCGTTTAATCGCAAAACATTGCGTTTAATCGCAATAAGCATTGCGTTTAAACGCAAAAGATTGCGTTTAATCGCAATGTATATTGCGTTTAAACGCAAAACACTTTGCGTTTGATCGCAAAAGATTGCGATTAAACGCAATCTTTTGCGTTTAAACGCAATACTTTTGCGATTAAACGCAATAATTTTTGCGTTTAATCGCAATGTTATTTTTGCGTTTAAGCTCAATAATTTTTGTGTTTAAACGCAATACTTTTGCGATTAAACGCAATACTTTTGCGTTTAATCGCAATTATTTTTGCGTTTAAACGCAATACTTTTGCGATTAAACGCAATAATCTTTGCGTTCAAAGGCAATGATCTTTGTGTTTAAAGGCAGTCATTTGTATCAAACCTTGCAGAATACAATGGACCCACGCATACTTATATCTTTTATTTCTTTCTTTTTTACTTATTAGGAAATTGTGTGTTGTCTTTATAGTTATTACTGTGTTCTCCGAGCAAACACTCTCTGAAAGGTAAATCACTAATAAGAATTTATAGAGGAGAAAAAAAAAATGTCGGGTTGTAAAAACAAAGGAATCCTAAGAACGAGACATATCTTAAGCTCATTCTCTACAATAATTATTGCGTTTAAACGCAATAAAAAATATTTCATTCTCTGAACTGGCCTCAACAGGCTTCCGTAGTACTACGGAAGCCCGTTGAGGCCAGTTAAGAGAAAGAAATATATTTTATTGCGTTTAAACGCAATAAGTATTGCGTTTAATCGCAATAATTATTGCGTTTAAACGCAAAAGATTGCGATTAATCGCAATGTATATTGCGTTTAAACGCAAAACACTTTGCGTTTTATCGCAAAAGATTGCGATAAAACGCAATCGTTTGCGTTTAAACGCAATAACTTTGCGATTAAACGCAATAGTTTTTGCGTTTAAACGCAATAATATTTTTGCGATTAAACGCAATGATTTTTGCGATTTAACGCAATAGTTTTTTGCGTTTAAACGCAATAATATTGCGATTAAACGCAATGCTTTTGCGCTTAAACGCAATAATCTTTGCGTTTAAAGCCAGTCATTTGTATCAAACTTTTCAGAGTACAATGGACCCACGCATACTTATATCTTTTATTTCTTTCTCTTTTTACTTATTAGAAAATTGTGTATTGTCTAGCTTTATAAAATATGATTTCTCAAACGAGAGCAAACACTCTCTGAAAGGATAAATCACTAATAAGAATTTATAGAGGAGGAAAAAATGTGGGGTTCTAAAAACAAAGGCAACCTAAGAACGAGACATGTCTTAAGCTTATTATTCTCTACATTCTTAATGAAGTTTTGGTCAGTTGCTCTGTTAAAAAAACTGTCCCCTACGTTGCGGTCACAAGTTTAACCCATGTATAAAGAGATTTTTGGAAAGGACTGAGGAAATGTTGGAATTACGTACAACATGATGAAGTATTTAGACTTAAATGTACATTCATAACCCTTCCTATGGTTGCATACAGTAAACGCAAGAAGATATGTGATGAATTTATATGAGATCAAAATCAAATGAAAACAGATTGATCGATGTGTACTACATGTATAAAATTGACAAGTGCTATTAATACAACTGAAACATTCTCTATAAGTTGTGATATACTAAAGCAATTGATCAGAGACTTCATCAAGAGTTTCGGGTTCATATACATTTAAGACGTTCAGGTTGTTAGGATGCCATTGTTTTAATACAATTTTCAAAAACTGGAAAATTTTGCAAAAAGACACAGAACAAATCGGATCTTCTTAAAGTTGAAGTGTCGGATCCTAGTACATGTACATGTAATCATAAACTTTGACCAATTCATATTTGATTTTGAAACCACAGTATCATTGGGTTTAAATGCAAAACAAATCTTATAAGGAAGGATTATTGCGTTTAATCGCAAAAATTATTGCGTTTAATCGCAAAAGTATTGCGTTTAATTGCAAAAATTATTGCGTTTAAACGCAAAAATTATTGCGTTTAAACACAAAAGATATTGCGTTTAAACGCAAAAATATTGTTGCGTTTAAACGCAAAAAGTATCGCGTTTAAATGCAAAAGTATTGCGTTTAAACGCAAAAGATTGCGTATAATGGCAATCTTTTGCGTTTAAACGCAAATTGTTTAATGGAGATTAAAGGATATTCAAGTGTTAACCTGGTGGCCTATTGATATTTTTAGTAGTTTGATACAATTTTTTTTGTTCTATAATAATTTATTGTGTCTCATTTAATGAAGCATCGGGCACCCTATCAACACCGTCTTCTGGGTGGTGGAGACATTACCTTTCATTTTTCATGTAAAATTAAATTTTGATTTAAAATTAAATGAAAAAAAAGATTTCTCTGTTAGTATTTAAAGCCTTTTTAAAATATATATAGATATATTTTAAAAGCGTGTTAGAAAACGTGATTGGCAATATCCCGCAAATTTACAACTCTCATGCAAACTACATAGATCGAGATGTAGCAGGAAGCAAAAATAAGGAAGAACGTGTTTTGAAGACAATTTATTTTGTTTCTGAAATATGTTACTCGTCTAAACAGAATTAAGGATCATAATAGGAGTAAACTAGGTAAAACAAAATTAATCATTATTTCATATAAAAAAATATCCCTACAAATATTTTATAATTAACAGTGATTATTTGGTCGTTTTCTAAGCAACATAATTGGCAGTATTTTAATCCACACTGAAAAAAGAAATGAATATCATACATTTTGTAAGGGCTTCAAACGATGGAGTTCGAATTCCAAAAAACACAGGAAATGTGGCGTGCGCAAGCAACCGTCGATGCTCAGAAAAGTGAGTAAATTAATCTTTAATCTAAAAAATGGTTTTAAAACATTTTGATTTACATATTACATGTAAATTCTACCAGGAATTCATAGATTGACAAGGGCATATTCCAAATGCCCGATGTCTATTGGGCACATTTTCAAATAACAATATCTAGTCATAATTTAAGATTGTGAGTCACGATATCAGCAAGGTAGAGGACCATGTAATATCTTCATCCTGGATACATCTTCTAGCATTGGAGAGGAAGGATTCAGACAAATGAAGAGCACATTTAGTTTAATCCTTGATGGTATGAAATTAATATCTTTATTCCAAAGCACATAATAAAGTCTTAAAACAACTAAAAGCTTAATTTTCAAAGGATTGAAGTTCAAAATTTATGCATTTGACATGTGTTTCAGAATATGCAAACTACCCTGATATTGACGAGAATGTTACTGTCATTGTTTGTGGGAGAATTACGAGATACCATTATCATTATTCTAATAATTACTTGGACATCAAACGCTCCCTAGGTATTCTTAATTTAGTTCGATAAATAACGATAAATTCACATGTATATACGTATTTAATTTCTATTCAATATTGCTAATATTTTGCTAAGGAATTTCAGTGAAATTGAACAATTTACAGAAATACCGGAACAGTAAATGTTCAGATGGTTTTCAGCTCAATTTAAATTACATTCTTTTATCTATTGATTTTTTTATTCCTTTCTTAGAATGGCGATATTGAACGTTTTATCTTTTTTAGATAGCATAGAATATGGAGGGTTATCTCCTCTTGCTGGTGCATTTTTCTTGTCGTTTGGAGCTATGAGAAACGGTGCAGGTAATCTTTCTCAACACGGATAGTTTATTACATATGTAAATCAAAGCACTAGAGAAGGCAAGGGATTCAATGATCGTATTTTATCAAGTCAGAAAGAAGCAAATCCTCAATTCTGTGCCTCATGGCATTTTATTTTTATTAGATCAATAGTATGATAATATTGATTTCTTTTATCGTAGTTCGGATTTTGATTTCGTTTGTCTTCAGTTTTCATTTAAGTTTTTTAAAACTTATAAATATATTTATGGAATTTAAAACACACTTTTTATGCCCCCGTATCGAAGACTCGGAGGTATATAGTTTTTGCCCTGTCCATCCGTCTGTCTGTTTGTCCGCAAAAACTTTAACCTTGCCCATAACTTTTGATTGGTTGGGTCTATGGCTTTCATACTTCACATATGTAATCCTTGTGAGATCTTTCTTTGGATACCAGCAACTTTGCCTTTGACCTTGGAGTTTGATCTACATTTGGAAAACTTTTACATTGGCTCTTACTTTTGAACAATTAACGCTAGGGCTTTCATATTTCACATGTGTAATCCTTGTGACAAGACCTTTCTTTGGATACCAACAACTTTGACCCTTTGACCTTGACCTTGGAATTTGACCTACTTTTGGAAAACTTTAGCCTTGGTCTTAACTTATGAACAATTGGTGCTTTGGCTTCCATATTTCACCTGTGTATTTCTTGGGAGAAGTCCTTTCCTTGGGCACCATTAATTTTGACCATTTGACCTTGATGTTTGACATACTTTTGAAAAAAAAACTTTAACCTTTACCATATCTTTTCAATAGTTGCTGCTAGGGCTTTCATATTTCACAGGTTTATTCCTCTAGACAAGACCTTACTTTGGGTACCAACATATTTGATTTGCATTTGAGAAAATTTAACCTTTGCTATAAGTTGCCATACGGGGCATCAGTGTTTCACAAACACATCTTGTTTTTTTTTTTTTAAAGTGTCATTCATAGTAGAATAATGCATTACTATCAAACTATTATTGGCAATCTTCCAATGCATCGGGTTCAATTAAAGCATGACATTATTATCTATAAGAAGCTGAGATATTTCTTTAAGGTCATACTGCAAGAATTGGTGATTTACATATACGCCCACGAGTAATTCTTTTCTCGGACGGAAAGCCCACGGATTTTACACTCACGAGTGATGCAGATGATTCCCCTTTCCACGAAAGAGATAAGGTATGGTGGATATGACCTGTAATGTGTGATTATTATTTGGTCTAATTAATCAATTAAATACTCATGTTTTGTAGGAAAAGCATTTCTTGCTCCAGATGGCCAAAGACATTGGTAAAACCCATCCAATCTTTTGCATACCAATTGGAAATAACCCAGATTTGGTAATAATTTTTAATAAATTTTAGGCCACAGTTGATACTAACATTTGATAAAAAAAGAGTTACACTGTACAGTGTAACAATCATTTCTAATAGCACAACAATTTTATGTGGTAAGTTCTACACTGACTCACAAGTTGACCAACTATGGTTATCTTTCAAAACAGAGTGCCTAAACGCACTCCAGAAGCATGTGCCGACCAAGATGACATTTTAACTGTATAGCTAATCCTGGATCAATCAGATAGTTATCCCGCTGGAAACAGGGAGTCTTTAGGAAGGTCAAGTTGTCCAGAAAGCAAAAAAGATTTGCAGCACTACTGAGACATACAGAAATCATATCAAGCAAAGTGTAGGAAGGCCTTCAGTTCCTACGATGAGAACATAGTAAGTGATAATAAGAGCATCAAAAAGCTGTTCACCTTGCAAGTTGTTAAGGACCGAAAATGTGACAGCGGTGGTATCTCACCACTCACGAAGGATAGAATTCATAGATCTGACCCAAAGGAGAAGGCGGAAATACTGAACGACCAGTATCTTCTGTTTTCACGAAAGAAGGCGGTTCCAGTACTTTCTGATGTTGGTCAAAGTACCATTCAAGAATTGCCAAACATATCCATCAGGCAAGAGGGTATTTAGGAAGCTACAATCCAGATGCTGAAACCGCATAAGGCAAGTGGTCCTTACGAACTTCCAACACGCTTACGCAAGGAAATGGCCAATGAAATCACATCGGCACTCGCACCTGTCTTCCAGACCACAATACAACAGGGCAGAACCCCAACAGCAGTGCTACAATAACACCAATCTTTAAGAAGGAAGACAAGAGCAAACCATCGAACTACCGCCGAATATCTTTAACTTTAATATGCTTCAAAGTCCTGGAACACGTTATGCACAGCTCCATCATGCAGTTCTTTGAACAGCACAACATTCTATCTTATATGCAGCATGGATTCCAAAAAGCATGATGCTGCGAATCTCAACTAATTCTAACTATCCAAGACATGGCGAAAGGGCTAGAGAACAATAAACAAATAGATGCTGTGCTTCTTGACATCCCATTTGGCACTTGACAAAGTGCCACACCAGCTGCTGGCCACCACAGAGTCTGTGGACCAACTTTGACTTGGACAGATTTATTCCTAAGCAATAGGCCCTAGCATGTTGCTGTTGAAGGAGTGGTGTCAGAATCAGCATCAGTGACTTCTGGAGTACCTCAGGGGACTTTGCTAGGTCCATTGCTATTCCTTTTGTATATCAAAGACCTACCACACGCACCTGACGCACAAGTGAAGTCAAAAGTCCTCTCTTTGCTGATGACTGCCTCCTGTAAGGGAGCAATCTAGAAGGCCAGCAGTGCTACAACGTTACCTAGATAGCCTCCAAGAATGGGGAAAATTGGTAAACTGCAATTAACCTTGACAAATGCGAGGTCATTCGCATTACACGGTAAAGGAAAATTATCCAGGAAAACTACATTATTCACAACCGGTTCTTGAATATGACCAACAAAGCCAAGTACCTGGGTGTAACTTTTACTGACAATCTTAGGTGGAACCACCACATAAACCACGTATGTAAGGCAAACTCACAATGCCTTCCTCCGGAGAAATCTTCAATCCTGTCCCCGGAAAACCAAAGATATGTGCTAAACATCAAGGGTCAGATCTCAAGTGAAATATGCTTGTACTGTATGGGACCCTTAAACCCAGAGCAACATCAATAAGTTGGAGAGTGTACAGCGCAGGATATGTGCTGGCCGACTACTAGATTACCAACAGTTTCAAACCTATCATTCAGCAGCTGGGAAGGGAATTACTACAACAAAGCAGACAAGCAGGAAAAGCAGTGTTGATGTACAAGATCTTACACTCCCTAGTAGCGATTCCATCTTCACCCTTCTTCCATCCTATTGCTGCTGCTATTAGAGGCCATCAACAACGACTGCAGATCCCTTATGTCAAAACAGAAACTTTCAAAGGATCTTTTTTTCCATCTGGGATCCTCCTGTGGAACACAGTATCACCTAGTGTTACAGGAACCAAATCCCTTGACTTGTTCAAGTCAGGGTTGGCAAAGTTTAGTAAACATTAGGTGACGGTACCAGTTTTTTTTAAATTATAAATTAAAGACTCTCCCCTGCCTCTGTCCTTTTAAAAGTAACAACTGCGATTATACCCAAGGTCCTGCACTTTAAAGGAAGAGGTATTCAGAATAATATTAAATGATAATTCCTCAGCCGACAAAATCAATTTTTTTTAATCAGTAAATTATAAATTTGGATAAGATAGTAGATTTACTGTGAAATTTTTTCTTTATATTGTAGTCCTTTTTAGAGGTCTTCTCTGCGTTTTCGAGTGGAGGAAAAGTAGTCTATCCTCACGAGGCAAGACAACTTGGAAAATACACCAAAAACATGGTATTCATTTTTAAAATGTAGTATTGCACATGTTTCACTTGAGGCTTCTTTGAAAGGGTTTTTTTTTTTTTTAGAAAACCCTGCAAGTCGATTAATAATTGAGCATCTACACTATTTATTTCCTTTCATTGTTATTAAACCAGAAATCCATTTTTAGAGAGCTGTGGCATTGATATCTATGAAGAATGGAGATTTTGACAAAGAAACAGTGGTCACTCTTTTGGCTTCAGCATCATCTGACATCTTCACTGAAAAAGACAAGGTGCACATGATCATTATCACTCTGATAACATTATTTCAATGCCAGTTCGATCCACAAAAGTGATAAAATCAAAAACACAAAACGTCATGTCATTTATTACATTAGTTTCATTTTCGTATTTCATGGCAATTCAGTTTAGGATGGAGCACACAAAATCCCCGTCTTCCAACAGGTTCTACATTCTAAATTGTGTAACCCAAGAATAAATTTGTTTTATCCAGGACGATATATTTGATATTTGCACAAAAAGATCCGCGTATGTCTCATTAGAGGAGATAAATGAGGAAGATGATGATGATGAAAATGAAAAGGATTATTATCATGAGAGAAATCCTCTTCTACCTTGTCTTGGCACAAGAGTTAAAAGGGGACCAGATTGGCACTGGGGGAACCAGGATAGTCAAGGTCCCGGCACTGTTATCGGACATTTAAAGGATGGTAGGAAACAGAAGTGAAATTACTTTGGTGGAGAATTAAGATGATTATAAGATAGTCCATATTAAGTGAAATTTTCTTAAATTTATTATACTTCTTCCATGAACTACATGTAATTCTAAATTCTATAAATGAAAGTAAGATAAAAACAAATGTTATCTTTAATTATTTCTTAAGTTTCATATGAAAGTTTATATTTTATATATATTTACAAAATGCGATTTATGTGTTTTGGCTTTCTTTGAAGGACGATTAATTATTGAATGGGACACTGGTGTAAAAAACTATTATCATTATGATATTCATATGAGTATGTATGAAGTTTCTGTGTGCTCTGAACCAAGGATTCTCGATACTGAAATTATTGCACCTGGCTGTTTAGTCACTAGAGGTAAAATTTATTTGTATTAAAAATGTATTAAAAATTAAAAATGTATACATTTTTTTATGTAGTGTTCCACTGTTCTTGCTACAGTGTTATAGTGTTGTGAAATAACTATTAAGGCAGCACTTTTTTCATTTTTAGATAAGATATAAGATAATCTAGTCTTTTTGCTATGTGAAAGCATACGATAACGCCCTGAGATAGAAACATACTTCTTAGATATAACATTTTTGGAATTGGACAATAAAGTTCAGATTGCATCCCCCATCAAGGAGGGAATTGATCACCATTATATTAAATGTAAAAGGTGAAGAATGTGAATATGAGCTGGACATCAGACAGAAATGAACACTACAATTTTTTTTCTCTCGGACGATATCGTTTATTCAAACCTAAATATATAAAAGGACGAGTGTGAGAACATAGACAATCTGTGCACACTGTGAGAAAATAGTACTTAATTATTCAACAGCAGTCGGTGTTGTTTGTACGTGTAATAATGCACTTAATTTTTTTTCAGTAAAACGAAAACATTTCATTAATTGATTTGTACACTTTTAGTCCAACCACTTTGAAATGCAATATTTTCCTTTGTGTTTTAACAAAACAACTTAAAAACCAACATCTTAGCCCCCTGACCACAAGAAATTTTGTTTTAATTCGTAGCATTAAATGATAGAAAGTGTTCAGACAAAACAAGTTTTTTGATTTAAAAAAGGCTATGAAATGTAAATATCGATGGCGTGGACCAAAGTCTTTTTTTTTTCAAAAAAACAAAACCTTGGACAATTTGTCATAGATCGACATGGGTGTCAAATTGACCATTGATAGCTTTTGTCACAATTTTATGTAATTTGGACTGTTAAGAAAAGTTCAATACGTTTCTTACTGATACACAATTATTTTGAACTTTCGGTGTGATTTCATTATATTAATTCTAAGGTCCTGACTGGGAATGGGGAGATCAAGATGGTGGAGAGGGAAGTATTGGCTCTGTTTACAGAGTCCGAAAAAATGGAAGGGTTCATGTAAGTTAGGTTAGGGATCCTTTGTTAAATAATAAATAAATCCATTAAGATAGTTTAAAACAAAAATAATTATAGCAAAAACTATTGTTTGTACATGTATGTGTTCTATTTTAGGTGCGATGGTCAAACGGCGAAAAAGGAGATTACAGATATGGTCAATATGGAAAATTTGATATTTTTCTGTGGTAATTACATGTATCTGATAAAAAAATTTAAGATCTACTAGAATTGCATTTAATGTAATCGTACTAAACTGTACAACGTATATAATTTAATTCTTAACTTTATTAGCTATTGTAACTATTGTTAGAATATTATTAAACTTCCGTTCATATTTTTGGAGGGGGATAGTACTACACGGATTCCTTCCAGTTATCTTTCGAAATACAAGAAAACTTAATGTTTCAATTCAGTTTTAGCCAGATATGTTTTATCATGTGTTCATTGCATTGTTGAAATTGTACAGAAAGCATTGTTCAACCATATATTTGAGATTGAATGGTTGAATTAGTTTCAAAATATTTTTATAGTGACCCTTTTTCATCGGATGAAATTCAAATCCATGAAAATCAAATGAGAACCACTGTTTTAGATAATCAGCCAGATATAACTACTCCCGAAAAAGGTAAATTCAAATTCAAATAAATAAGTAATGATTAATAATGTAAATTGCATCAATTATTTTGTTGAATAATTTCTTTCTAAGATTCACTTAAAATTGAGAAGAAACGTGCTACACCAACCTTCGAAAACACTTCCACATCCTCGTTTCATTTAAAGACTATCAAAGGAAAATATTTTAAGAATGACAGGGTAACTGATTCCCTGTCAGACTTGGAGGTTGACGGATTAAATGAGACTGCTTTACCAACTGACCAGTGGATGTGGAGAGATTCCAGCGGAGAATGGATTCCGTATTCAAGGAAAATAAATAAAAGAATTAATGAATGTTTTAAAAGACAGTCAAAGTCCACTGTAATCGTTTCCCTATATGGAACTGAGTAAGAGTTTTCAGATAAGTTCATCATATATAACAAAATATAAATTTCAAATGGAATTCTTCTTCCTGACTTTTTTTCAAGCATTAAAAAGCTTCACTTGTCATTATCAGTATAATTATTAACCGATTGAATCCACTTTTAATAAAAAAAAAATATTATAATCAGTAAAATGTTGCAGTTTTAATGTTCACACATTTCGCCTTAAAATATTATAATGTATGTGACAACTATAATATAGCAAGGTACCGGTAGTATGTACTTCTTTTCAGTTACAGGGTTGTCATGGCCAAGAGAATTCAAATCAACCTTGAGAGTAGAGAAACAACAGATATTAAATTAATAAAGAATGAATAATCAATAAACTTTCAAATGTTTGTTTTTGCTCTTTGATTTCTTATAAAAAAAATCTTCTTAAAGTATTATAATATCCGATTTGTCAAGAAAATGACAAGTTATATCGAACTTGAAAAAAAAAAACATGAAAGACTCGAAAGGGCAACAGCAAATGTAAACGTTAACAGCATTTATGTTGTCATGGGAAAAAAAAAAAAGAAAAAATCATGGAAGAGGCACCCTTGCTTCTTATTACTATGCATTTTGTTTTTTCCCTTTATACCCGAGAGAGAGAAGATTATTTTCAAAGAAATAATGCATTTTCACTATATCGTCATAAGACACCCCCCCCCCCGATTCCCTAGCCCTTGGGCTATGGAATTTACAGGTTTTGAAAAAAGCATCCTTGCTTATCATAACCGTGCACTTAAATTATCTGATCAATACATAGGAGCAGAGTAGAAGATTTCCAAGCTGGAAGTTCAAATACAAGAGAAAAAGATAGCAATAGGTCACCTGAGTAACTCAAGAAACCTAAAATTTGGAGACTTTTTGTAGGATTTTTTTTTTTGCCTGTAGGATGCAAATGGATGGGAGGCATTTTGACTAAGATAGAGGACAGTTTGACAAAACCTTAGGAATGATTTATAAGATTTATCTCCAATGAATTATGGGACTCTTTGACAAATATTGTAACTTTTGTTTCCAGGGGTCCGTGTTTTTGTTTTGTTCGCGATTCTTTTTGTTTGCTGGATTTATGCGACTAGTCACTTTCCGTTATTTTCACCTTGTATATTGTAAAGTATCATATGAAAAAATGCAGTGCAGGCGTTTTAAGCATTCTAAATTTATTTTTATTTATTTATATTTTTTTAAGTAGAGTTATAACACCCATTTATGTTAACTGAATGTTCTTGGTAGATTTTTTTAAATTTAATATTTGTTGCTTTAGTGCTATTTAATAGCTATTCTATTATTAACAAAGTTCTCTTAACATTAACTATTTTAAGAACCTAAATAACTGACGTAAATAAAGCAACCAGGAAGTTAAAACAAGGATGTAACATTTTGCAGAATTAATTATGAACTGAACCTGCTGTATTCGATAAAGTAAGTACTCTATCTTGTTTACATTAGATTTATTTTTTTGGTCATAGACCAATATTCCTTTAATAATTTTCCATATATACTGAGTATATGACAGTATTACCATTTACTATTTTGAACAGTATAGATGGACTTGGGTTTCGAGAATGGACAAAGATATTGGAGAGAACAAGCCTTCCTCGACGCTAAAAGGAGTAAGTGCCTGTATTTCCTTGTATTAATAACACAAGTAAGAAATAACTGGGTTGATATTGGTATTTTCATTGAGAGAGTTACATATATAGAAAAAAGAACATTGTATTAAATTTAGGTTTGCTAAAATAAATAGGGATACATGTATAATAATTTGTTTGTCTTAGTTTCTATGCCAATCATTTCTTCAAACTCCTCAGTTTTTATCGTCTATATGAATTTATAATATTTTACATTGACATTGTAAGAATTCCTTTCAGAAAGATAATTTAAAAGCAAAATTTCATGTAATTTATCTTAACAATCAATCTGAAAAAAAAATGTATTTTGACTGGTTCACAAAACACTAGAACCCCTAGACTTATAGCGGACCAAATACTTTTCAGGTGAGTTTATAATACATTCTTTTTATTTAGATCGTGAACTGAGACACCAACACGGTAATGGACCATGTAATATCTTCATACTCGACACGTCATCAAGCCTCGGAGAGGAGGGCTTCAATCAAATGAAGGATATATTTTGTACCATAATCAACGGTGGGTATACACTAAAGAAATGATTAACTTTTCATCAAGATTAATTGATTGATTGATTTTATGTTTTATAACGTCGACGTCCCATTCGAGAATTTTTTCCACTCATAAAGAGACGTCACCGTATGCCGTTGAAGGGCTTTAAATTTAGACCTATACTCAGCACTCAGGACCATTGAATAGTGAGGGTTCTTTATTGTGTCACGGGAATTCGGTTTTTAAGGTCTCATCCGAAAGACCCGTGACTTTCACATCTAAAGCCGGGCGCTAAGGAACAGTCACTAGCTATATTTACGCCTTAGGTTTGACGCGGCGTGACGAACGAGAACAGATAGCGGGCCTCCCGTTCACGAAGCGAACACCCTACCACTAGGCTATTGTGACCGATTTTCATTAAGATGATGAACCTTACTTCATATTCATGTACATGTGCAGTACAGCAGGCGGAGACACAAATATCGGAAAGTTGCTGAGTGTTTCATATACATATAATATTATAGTGTTAGTGAAAAAAAAAAATTCTCACATATTTTAGATAGAACAGGTGGTTGTGATAAATGTATTATGGAAAGCACTTTACTCGGTGCCTAGAACCATTGAGCAGTGAGGGATCTTTACCGGGGCCTCCTTGTTAAGGTCATCCAAAAGACCCGCAACATTTACTTGATGAGCTCCTGGCCAAGAAACAGTTGCTACCTTTTCTTAGTTTTAGGTTTGTTGCGGACGAGCGATCTATCAGATGAGCCAAGTACTGTGTTAAATAAGAATGTATAATGGTAATATTACCTTGAAAGATTGAATATCGATTATATTTTGAGGAAAATACGCTTAAATGAAGAATTGGATTTGTCCGATGAAGTTTATAGTGATTGGATTGATTAATTATAATGGTGTAGCACTTAGCTCAGTTTTAGGGGAACTCAAGATATGGAGTAATATTTTACTCATAATTAGCTTTTATTTATTTGTTTACCTTTACAGAATATGCCAATCATCCAGAAGAAGATGAAAATGTGGCTGTCATCGTCTGTGGTAAAAATACCAGATTCCAGCACTACTTCTCAAATCAGTACCTCGATATAGCACAGAGTTTAGGTACAAATTATCTTTGTAATGAAGAAATGAAGATATTTATGTGATAAAATATATATAATAAAATATAAACTCACTATATATCAACATTAGTAAACTTTAAAGGAAAATTCTTACTCAAACCAAATTTGATTTATAATGTGTGCATTTGATATAGTGTTTTGGAACTTAACGCTGTTAGTATCTGAAATCTAATGTGTATCACATTAGAATTATTATCGTTGTGCTAGTACGTTTCTCCTTTTAAATACATTGTCGTCATTAATACAATTATCATTAGACGGTATAGAATATGGAGGTCTCTCGCCGCTCACAGCAGCATTTCTACTTTGTATCGAGTCAACTCGTAATGGAGCAAGTAAGAGACCTGCATGTGCATAATATTCATATAACATTTTCACATGTATTTATAGTGATCCTTGAAATAACAGCAGATAATATATGTTTTGTTGCATTAAAGTCCAATTTATATATCTCTGATATTTACATAAGGCCATACTCTAAAGATATGCGACTTCGTAATACGTCCACGAATTATTCTCATTTCTGATGGGCGACCGACAAATTTCCATTTCATCAGTGATACATCTGACTCCATCCAGTATGAAACTGAAGAGGTATTTGTAATTGAAATCTACTAACAACATTTTAAGACTTAACATTAAACTTCAACTTTAAAAAGAAGTGTCTGTTGCTCTCTCCCGATCGACCGACTAAAAAATGGTTCGACTCAACCTTTTTAAACCTCCAGGAAACGATTTTTTGTTTTCATCTCGGAATTTCTAATAACTGTTGTATTTTTTATTAATACTCTCAATTTCTATAAATTTTGAAAATTAAGCGTTTATGCTCAAAAAAAAATCCGGAAAATTTTTTTCCCTACATACGAACCTACCATATTTTTCCACCCTGACCCGCGTCGGGAGAGGGCAAGCAAACATTTTTTTTTAAATGGCCTATGTTAAACCTTCAGCTGTCTGAAGTTAAAGAAAGTTAATCTTTGTAGGCTAAAAATCAACTGCAGCAAATAACTAGACTAATTGGGAGACGAAATCCAATCTTCTGCATTCCTGTGGGGGAAAATCCTGATCTGGTATATGTTATTTACAAACCTCTAAAATGAACTGAAATTATGCTGAATACATGCTCCTTTTTAAGATTTTTTTTAATACTTTTAAGCCCTTATTGGAGTTTATATGTGCTCTGTCGAGAGGGGGGAAACTTGTGTACCCTTTTGAGGCCAGGCAGTTTGCAAGATATTCTCAAAATATGGTAATTCGATACAAGTAATCTGAGAAAATAATGACCATTTCTTTAAAACAAAATGCTATATTTTTCAGATTCAATTTTAATTTTAGGTCATCAATCTTACATATCAGAGATCATCATGATTGCAATATGATTTGATTGTAAAAAAGATTCCTTATACCTTACACTTATCAAGCATCGTAATTTCATGTTTAAATAATTCTTTGTTACTTAAAAGAAATTGTGGAGTGTATATACAAACTTCTCGAAATACTCATAATTAACCAATTGCACCCACAGAAAACAACAGCAATGATATTATCTACATCAACATTTACAATGAATCAAGAAATGGTACTTTCTGCATTGTCTATTGCGGTTCCAAGAAAAGATTTAACTGAAATGGATAAGGTACGTGTATGACATGTAAATTTCATTTTTGTTTTTAAAAAAAACTGTTTATTAAATACGTGTTGATTTCGGTGTATGTAAGTACTCGTCCTGGTATATTAAAATAGCAAAACGTATATAAAAGCTTCCTTATATATATATATATATATATATATATATATATATATATATATATATATATATATATATATATATATATATATATATATATATATATATATATATATATATATATATCCAATGAAAAAATCAAGAATCACAAGACTCGAATAATCATTTTAACTGTAAGCGCTTTCTGCCTTTTAAGGTATGTCACTCGTGAAATTTGTTATATCAAGGATTTTTTGAGAAGTATATTTTGGATAAATACTTGTATAGTATGACTCAAAATCGCAGAGAAAATGGGGGGTCAGTGTGCATATAACTGAGCTACGGTACAATTAAGTTGACCTTTTTGCACTTAAATTGTAGCTCTTTGGTTAATCACTTTAACCGTTATCACATTTTATCAGATGTAACCATGGCAATAAACATAATCTTATTTTACGTAAAATAGTTTGAATAATATTTATCATTGAACAAATCATGCAAATTAATGCGCGTAAATAATTGTGGGAACTTTTTTCACTTAAAAAGTCTCATATTTGGGGTATCAAAAATCTAAATAGGCAATAGAATATTTTCTTGTATCAAACTTTTTACGACTTAAGTGCTGATCGGTCAATAGTGTCGAGTAGTTTAAAATAATGAAAGAAAGAGTTAGGGTCAGTGATGTAAATTTGAAATATTGGTCAAAATATGCGATTTTCTGGCAAAAAACTGTGTAAATTTTATCTTGACTTCTTTAATATATGTTCTTTTCTTGGCAAAGTTAGTTGAGCGAAGGTGTAAATTTTGTTATAAAAATATAAATTGAGACCTATATGTAATTTTCCAGGCATATCATAACGGAAAATATTCTCTGAGTAAAAGTATGTGAGGCTAAAGTTCCAAGATATTAAATTCAATAAATGTTTAGATTTGCAGAATTTTCTGCTAATTATCCTCCCACCACGAAAAATAGTCCCTTATAAATTTTGCTTCTTTATGAATTTTTTAGCAGTTTTTTAATTGAATGTTGAACATTTTACAGTGTTTAATTCAAATATGTTATAGAAATTGAATTGTAATGAATAGTTTTGTAGTTAGAGGTTCTGACTGAACTTTTCTAAAAGGCTGACGAGTGACATACCTTAATATTTACATTTCCAAATATTTTTTCTTAATATTCTTTGCAAATTAGAATGCTGTTCATTTTCTCATGAACTACCATGGATGAGCATGAATATCTCAATTGTTACGTCATAATGCCGTACTTGACGTCAAAACTATAGTGCAAACTGTTTTGCTTTAAAAATGACAGTTGAATGGTGAAATTTGTGGTAACTCATTAGAAAAATAATGTCAATATAAGAAATGAATTTAATTTTTGAAGATTCATGAGGTACATGAACTACGACGCTTCACGCCGGCATATGTATCATGAAGCGCTAACGCGCTTCATGAAATATGCCGGCGTGAAGCGTCGTAGTTCATGTCCTCATGAATCTTCAAAAATTAAATTCATTTCTTAAATGGCTCTTCAGACAGTTACAAAATGAATATGAATTGCTTAGTAACGTTCATTAGCACGACGTCAATTATCGTCCTTTGTGACGTCATAATAACGTTAAAAGGTAGCATCATAATTCGCACAGTTACAATCACTTGTAATTCAAAAACAAATAGAAAATTAAATCGAAAATTAACTCTGAAGCAATTATTTTCTGTTAAGTTTTGGGTTAAATAATTTAATAAAGTAGTCCTCCTTTGCTACTCTGGATATTTCACAGTCATTGTGCATTTTATAAAATGGAAATATTTTAAATTGCCTTTCCCACAGATAGCAAAGTGCTCACTGCACGGCGTATTTCTTATGTCAGGGTCCCGAATTTGTTGTTTATGGACTCGCACACGTGCGTTCAGTTTGCTGGTTTGTCCTATGTAGTATTCATCACAGGTTGGACAGGTTATGCAATAAATAACATTTTCTGACTTGCAGGTCATGTTGGCGTTTGGTGTTAATTTTTTACAACATTTTAGAGTTTTTTCACTGCCCACCTCCAGATATTCACATGATCCACAGCGTGGGTCTCGGCACTTTTTGACGACTTTGGCATTGTCCGATGCAAATAAAATGCTTCTTTTACCTTAAAATAAAATAAAACAGGTGCGATTTTAAATGAATAGATAGAAGAGGATATGCTTTTATTTATTGAAAATCCTCAACACAAATCATTTTCGTTTCTTTAATTATATAGGTTCTGTAGCAAATTAAAAAAAACAGAAAAAACTACAGAAATTGGATTTTTAAACTGCCTGAAATAAAATTTTAACATTTACTCTGTAAAATCAATTGCCAGTTGTCAACCTTTCTTTGTCCAGGAAGATATACTTGAACTAAGTAGGAAAAAATCATTATTTACGTCAGCGTCAGAACATTCTGACTCCGACGAGGATGTAATAGATATTGTCCTTGAAAAGAAAGATCCCTGCATGCCAGATCTTGGTAGCAGAGTAAAACGAGGACCAGACTGGATGTGGGAAAATCAAGATGGCTATGGCCCTGGCACAGTCATAGGATTTGGAAAGAAAGGTAAAACATAGATTCTGCAAATAATTGCATGTAAACATCTTAACAAAATTAATACTTAAAATTATTGTGAATTTAAATTGTCTCTCGAAAAATTGTAATTTATTTAAAGTTGGATGGTTGTGGATAGAATGGGACAACGGTGACAAAAACAAGTACAGGTATGGAAACATTCATTTCGTGTCGGGTGTACATGACGTCGTAGTATGTGATCTACCACGAGTTCTAGAAGACGAGTTGATTGCCGTGGGTTGTTTGGTTGTGAGAGGTAATGTATTTATTTTGGATAAATATGTGAATTATCATGATTTATAAAGATAAGATTACGAACAGTAATCAAACACAAGAGTCCATTGGAACAATACATATTGGGAGCAATGCAGACAGAAACCCCTTAAAACCTCAGAGATGGGATCATGTTCCATGGACGAGTAAGCATCCCCCATCGAATGGTCACACTGGTTTTATCAATTTTAATGTCATTTATTATTTAGACAATGTACCCTCTGTATTCTCAATAGGTCCAGACTGGAAATGGGGGGATCAAGATGGAGGAGAAGGAAACATAGGATCAGTTTTTCGAGTCAGAAACAACGGGAGCGTCAACGTGCGTCTGTTTGTATTTAAATATGAAAGTAAAACATAGTGATAATTACAGGCGTTCAAAGTGTATAAATTCCATTTTTCCTGATTTGGGGACAATTTTCTTAGCCCTAGTTTTGCACTTCTCATAAAGCATTATTTACACATATATTTGGTAGAATAATTGGAAAGTTTTTTAAAATTTAAGACGTTCAATTCAATATATCCTCCTCTACCAATGAAATATATATATTATAAAAACATGAGTAAGTGCCAAAGTTATCGAAATTCATTCTACTAAAAAAATCAAACATATGAAAACAGGGAAGACAATGTTTATCATCAAATCATTTATTATAGGTTAGATGGCGGAATGGCAATGTGAGAGATTACAGATTTGGTTATAAAGGGACGTTTGATCTACTGATATGGTAATTTAAACGTTTTTGACAAGTTCAATTTACTTTGGTTTTATTTAATGAAAAGGGAATAAATGCTTTTCAATTAAAGATAATATAGAAGATTCTTTTTTTTTAAAAAAAAAAGGGTCTGTATTACAAATCTTTTTTGGGAGCAGTGAGAGAGTGCTACGTTAGAAAAAAAACTTATCAAATGAAATTATTCACATTTTATTTTGGAATATAAACAGTGATCCGTTTTCCAGGAAGGTGAGGGAATATTTACAGGAAAATGTCAAAGAAGCTTCTACAACTGAATCCTCTAACAGAGAACATACTTTTCTTAAAAGTATTTATTGATAACTCTCTCAAATTTTCTTCGGTATTAATTGTACATTCAATCAATAAACTCAAAGATTTTTGTTTATTTAAGGGGATTTTCATCCAGATATCGACTCAAAATCAAAATCACTCGGTCTTGAGCAATCGGTACACGATTTTTCTAGAAATTGTACACATTTGCTAAAAGTACCCAAAGGTAAATACTTTAGAAATGACAAACTGGAGGATGAGTCTTCGTCAGATTTAGAGGTGGATGGACAAAAAGCAATTAATCAGTGGATGTGGAAAGATAACAGTGGAAAATGGAATAATTATCCTAGAAAAATGAATGACAAAATATATAAATCATGGAAGAGAAACCCAAATTCTACCGTAGTAGTGGAAATAAATGAATGTGTGTAAGTATTTCAAATTAAATTGACCATATCATGGCTACTATATACAGCACAGAGAATACGGAGAGATAAATTGTTAGATTCAACTTTCAGCTGATATCTGAATGCTGTAGTAATTTCCTTTCAAGGTCTACAGTTCTATGAATTGCTCTTTCAGATACAGAGTTGTATTGGAGAGGAATATACAGATAAATCTAGAGACTAAAGAAAGGATGGAAATAGAATTGATTGAATGATTGAAACTGTATAAGGATTCCATTTAACAGTCGACTTTGTCACACAAAATATCATCAACATGCCCCCCGTCGTATGTGTATATCCAGGAACTCTCAAATGCATTATTTAATTGAATCAATTTCAAAATGAGGCTTGAAATTGAATTTTTTATGCCACAAGTTTCATTTTACGCATCTTAATATGATTCAAGTTTTTCTGAAGTCTTAGAAATGGTGTTGTAAAAGAAGACATTTAGCATCCCATAATAGTAAAAAAAAATACATTTTTAGAGACCAATGTTTATTAGCATGAAATGAAACTGCATGTAATCTGTGATATCTTCCAGTTACATAACATGCTTTTCACACAATGTATTTTAACAATAAAAGTTAATAAATAAAAATTAAGATAGTACATAAGTATAGAAAACTTAAAATTTTCCAAAATGCCTAAATACCTATAGTTTTTTGTCCTACAACATACATTTTTTATTGATCAATTTCAGTTAGGAAATGCAAAATTGTATTTTTCTTCGCATTTCCTGAAAATATATTTGAGAATTGATAATTTTCTGTGATGACACTTGCTGTGGTTTTCATTTCAACATTTAGACGGCATATTATCAATTAACAAAAGTTATTTCCATTCATATGCTTGAAAACCGTTCGATTTTCGGTGCCGCGTTTTTTCTGTTATATGCACCCCCCACCTAAAAGAAAGAATGGTGTCCATTAATTAACCATGTAATTTAATTCTAATTTTGCTACTTTATTTACTTTATACGGCTCCAAACAGCCCTATATGGCTATGTAATTCAGTTTCAAAAAATTACATTTGTATACACATGTCGAAAAATTACACATGCCCAGATAATATAAGTAATTTCTTTTGTGGGGTTGGGGGTGAGGGTGTTCAAATATTATATACATGTATATAGTCTATAAAGGAAGACAATGTGTAGATAAAAAAGAAATTATAATTCCTGATATCCTGATCAGTGTTGACTCACAGCAGCTCCCCCCCCCCCCCCCCGGAAAAAAATTGCATTGTATGTTCTCACTGACAGCAGCTTTTTGTCAATCATACAGGTATTTTTTACTTTCATGTATAGAAACATAGTGCTTCTCGGCCATAAAAAATAAAGCATTAATAATTCTTCGTATAATTTCTGCTTTCCTGAAACATTCACAACTTACCTATTTATCGGCAGTTCACCATAGTCTGTCAATTTTCCGGTAAATGTTTACATGTAATTGGTTTCGGATTATACTTGCAGTGCTATTTATGTGACTTGTTCGACATTCGAAATAAATCCCGGAAAGGGTGTTAGAATTTTAAAAAACGATTGATAAAACAAGAGTAACAGGGAAGTTTTTCTTGAGATTTTAAAACTTAAACAGAAAGGATGTTAAACTCTTTATTTCTGTAAGTATTAATTTTAAATTTATCTCAGTTGCTTAATTTTAAATGCCTAACTGGATATATATTGAATACGATAATATTCATGAACAGACAAAAGAAAAAGTTTAAGAACTCTTTTCTATGTGATAGAGATTATGTTCAAACTCTGGATTCCGCCTTCGAGAACTCTAAGCAACATTGGTTTCAACAGGCAGAGCTCGAAGCGGTAAAAAGTAAGTTCAAGACACAAATTGTACAGCTGCCTTAAATCAATTCCCATATAATATAATTCTAATTTTGAAATTATAATTCTATTTCTGAATGTTTACTGTTTTGTTCCCAAAGGTATAGATTCATCTATTTCCTATCAAACGCTTAATACGAGGGTTGTTCATAAATTACACGGAGTCTGCTATTATTTACTCTTACAGACGTCAAATAGAAAAGAAATTTCACAGAAATATATTGCTTAGAAATTCCATTAATTTTTTTTTTTAATTTTGACTTTGATTATATTCTCCTAAAATTATTGCTGATGGTGATGTACAGAAAATGGCAAAAAATCTGAAATACAAACATGCAGAATCCGTAATTTTACTCGTCTATTTTTTATAATTCGACAATTTTCTCTAAAATTCCTTTTTAGTGTTCTAATAGCGTGTATTTAGATTTCTGAAGTAATAAATGACGTATTTACAGAAGTATTGATTTTTCTCCCTTTTGATCCCTATGAAATCAACTGCAAAAATGACGTCACGAAATTTGACGGAGCAGCGCACTTTTATTACATTATGTGTAATGAATGAGAAAAGTTAACATTTACACCCAAAATATGCATCTGTTCACAAATAGCAAAGGAGAATATTAAACGGTTAGACTTCAAGAAAAAGCAATCCAGGAGGTAAGATAATCGGCAATGTTCAGCTTGATCTGAACTGTTAAGAGGGTGATCGAGAGTGACCGACGTTACACAAGATTTCGGAAATAACGGTAGTTTTAGTAATTAAAAAAAGTAGAACATACTTTACTTGTTTTATAGTTTTAGTTCATAATTGGTATATGGATGTATATGCTGAGTGGATAAGGTAATAAAACTGCATGTACGGTATCAAACACAAAGGGAAAATATTGAGAAAATGAAAGCTCACATTTTTTATTAGTGACGTCGAAATTTTTACTGCACTGTGACTTCATGGTATGGCCTGTTAAATCACCCAAAATTGATATCAATTTACAATATTTTGATATGAAATTTTGATGACCATGTCAGTATGTGTGACCTGTTTCTTGATTATATCGTCAAATATTTTTTCTATGCAACAAGTCCGAGTAAATTTTAACGTATGATCAACAGCATTGTACATAGTGCGGTGCCATTTTATAACTTTAATCGCTATATTTTACTTCTTACATTATGTTAAATATTTTCAAGCATATTCATAATTTGTTTTAGATCGTGAACGTAGATATCAACAAGGAAGTGGACCATGCAATATTTTCATACTAGATACATCATCCAATTTGGGAGAGGATGGCTTCATACAAATGATAGATGCATTTTGCACTATCATTGATGGTACCTTGATAATACTTTTTGTGATCTGTTTAGCCCTGAAACTTTTACAAACTCGATAGATTGCTTTGAAATTGCATAAAAGTCACAATATTCATACATGCATGAACTATATATTTCAGAATATGCCAGACACCCAGAGGTGGATGAAAATGTAGCTGTTGTGATTTGTGGAAGGGCAACGCAATTTAAACATTACTATTCCAATAATTATAACCAGATAAAACGTTGTATTGGTATAACTTGAAATAATATTAATTTGAACATTTTTGTAATCAAACGAACACATGGAAATTAATTTATGATGATAAGCTTGACATTTAATTTTTGTAATGAAACTTCACATTGAATGTAGGATTTGGGGTGTCTGTTAAACTACATATTTTCAACGCAAGATCTAACAAATATGACACTTTCGTTTTTTCTTATACACTAAGATCTAAGGCAAAATTAAGTTTGAAAACTTAAGAAAAGCATTATTATGCTATGTATTTTATTCTTCTATATTAAATACTAGTAGTCATTGTTTGAAACACAATTTTAACGCTTTTGCAGATGACATTGAATATGGCGGACCGTGCCCCCTTACCGCCGCTTTTATGCTATCATTAGGAGCTGTTATAAAAAGAACAGGTAAGTTTACCTCAATTTATGTAATATCTTTATACTTTAAGTATCGGAAGCGTTCTCAAACTCCATTGTTTCAGGATATTCGAAGAAGATTGGAGATTTCCATGTTCATCCTCGCTTCATTGTTATTTCGGCTGGAATGCCAACCGATTTCACCTTATTGGACAACTCGGAGGAAATTGTGATTATTAATTTTTTAGTTAACCGATTTGCATATTGTATAAACTACAATCACATCTACTAATCTAGTTTATTCCAATCACATATACTAAATATGTATAGATACTGTCTAGGTTTCTTTTATCAACATAACTTAAGTTACTCATAATTCATAATTATTTAGGTGATAGATCATTTACTGCAAATGGTAAGAAATATTGGAAAACGCCATCCAATTTACTGTATTCCAGTAGGAAAAAATCCAGACATGGTAAGATTGGTTCAAAATTTTATGAATATCCATGATTACAAGAAAATAATTTTCATTAATCTTAATGATCAGAGATAGCTCTTATTGAAATCATCTCAAACCTTCAATATGAAGATATCATAAAAAAATCTTCTCCCATATATATATATATATATATAAATTAAAATAAAATCCAAGATAAACAAACAAGTTCACATTTAATTATTACACTAAGCGCTTTCGCCGTGAGGCTCTTCAGAGTGTAACAAAGTTTATAAAAACAATACAACTTGGTTGTTATGACGTCGTTATTGTGACGTCATAAAGGCAGCATTATATATTGGCGCAGGTAAATGTCATTAGGGCGCCAGAGAATTGAACATATGTACATTGTGATGAAATAGACTGCTAATTTTAAGCTATAATGTTCAATTTACATTTAGTTTAGGTTTAAATAATTTAACAAAGTAATCTTCCTTGGCTCTCCGTAATTGTTCATTATTTTCTAGAACTTTATAAAAAGGGAATATTAAAAAGTTTCCATTCGCACATGAATCAAAATGTTCACTGCATGGCGTATTCCTGACAGAAGGGTCCCGTATTTGTTGTTTATGGACTCTTACGCGGTCAGCTAGTTTGTTACCGGTCTGTCCAATGTAGTTTTCCCCGCATGAAGTACAAGTCATACAGTATATTAAATTTTTAGATTTGCATGACATATTCGCATTTACGGTAAATGTTTTACCACATTTAAAAGTAAACGTCTCTCCTGTTTTTAAATAAGGACAGGTTCCACATAGGGGGTCCATACATTTGGCCACTGTGCGTATGTCTTCATTTGACGAAAATTTGGCTCTTGTAAGGAGTTTCTTCAGGTTTGGGGGTTGGCGCCGGCTATAGATTATGTTCTTCAGGTCAATTAATTCCTTTAGATTTTGGGATTGTTGTAGAATGGGGAAGCACTGTTTTACGGAATTATACATATTATGGTTCCGGGGGTTATGTGTAACGACAAGCGGGATTTCTTTATTGTTTTCCTGGGCCCCTGCTCTTGTAGAACTCCGGAGATCTGTAGTTGGTATTGACTTGGCCCTTTCAATAGCGACGTCTATTAGATCATTGGGATATTTTTGTCTAAGTAAAAAAGTTTTCAATTCCTGTAGACGGCTGTTTCTTCTGGTTTCATCTATGACAATGGTACAAACACGTCTTGCCATATTAAAAGGTATGTTACGTTTTACTTGTGAAGGATGGCAGGAATTAAATACAAGGTATTGGTGGGAATCCGTTTTCTTGTAGTATAAATCTGTTATGATTTTACGACCCTCCTTAATTATAAGGATATCTAAAAAAGGTAGTTCCAATCCGCTTTTTTCCACCGTAAATTTAATAGACGGGTCTAGATTGTTAAGAATTGAATGAAATTCTTGTAAATCTTCATTAGATCTGTTCCAGAAAATGAAACAATCCCTATGTGGAACCTGTCCTTATTTAAAAACAGGAGAGACGTTTACTTTTAAATGTGGTAAAACATTTACCGTAAATGCGAATATGTCATGCAAATCTAAAAATTTAATATACTGTATGACTTGTACTTCATGCGGGGAAAACTACATTGGACAGACCGGTAACAAACTAGCTGACCGCGTAAGAGTCCATAAACAACAAATACGGGACCCTTCTGTCAGGAATACGCCATGCAGTGAACATTTTGATTCATGTGCGAATGGAAACTTTTTAATATTTCCTTTTTATAAAGTTCTAGAAAATAATGAACAATTACGGAGAGCCAAGGAAGATTACTTTGTTAAATTATTTAAACCTAAACTAAATGTAAATTGAACATTATAGCTTAAAATTAGCAGTCTATTTCATCACAATGTACATATGTTCAATTCTCTACTTTTGGCGCCCTAATGACATTTACCTGCGCCAATATATAATGCTGCCTTTATGACGTCACAATAACGACGTCATAACAACCAAGTTGTATTGTTTTTATAAACTTTGTTACACTCTGAAGAGCCTCACGGCGAAAGCGCTTAGTGTAATAATTAAATGTGAACTTGTTTGTTTATCTTGGATTTTATTTTAATTTATAACCTACCTATACCGTGGACTTTTACTACAATTTCACTATATATATATATATATATATATATATATATATATATATATATATATATATATATATATATATATATATATATATATATATATATATATATACACACGAGGGTTGTCCCAGAAAAACGCGAATTTTTTAAATATTTCATTAACTACCTTACCAAAATTAATTATTCATTTTTGGCACAATGTTAGGAAATGATATTTTCTTCATTAAGACCAAATACTATAAGGTTGAAATGTCATATGCGTTTAGAAACAGCATTTAAATGGTGTTAAATATCGGTGGTCTGGGCTCGGCAATTTCTTGACTTTCAAAATTAGGATTGCCATCTATGTTTTCTTTATTACAAGGCTTTACGGAAATATGACAAAAATTAATCCATTGAATCTGTATGATCTAGAATACTCGTATGTAAAAAAAATTATACTTTAACATCATAAATAACAAAGATATGACGTTATATGACCAAACACTGTTAGTTAGATATTGTCAAAAACGGCGACGTCGGGCGATAATGCGGAGCACCAAATTATCACAGAGTACTGTGCGGAGCAGGGTATGAAACCTGTTTATACGGGAAAAGAGCTGGAATAAGGAACGACACAAATACATGCATCGAATACTGGTTTATACATCGGAAAAGAGTTCAAAGATGGATGGACTGGTTATCCGATGGAAGAAGCGTTTGGTAGATCAACAAAAATTACGACAAACTGAAAAGTTTAGAGCTGGACGTCATACATGGAGACCACCGTTAACTATGCATGCAGTTAAGTTTATGATCGGGGTTGGAAAATTGTCTATTAAAAGAATTAATTCCTTGATTTATTCTTAACTGTAGTATGTGTGAAATGGATAACTCAGTAACTAAAAGAAAATCAAATGCAGTATCGAATTTCTGCTTTGAACGAATTTTTAAAGACGCACGATTCCTGAACAAATTAAAAACTCCACGAGCTACGTTTTGACGTCGTCGGTGTTGCACCGTGAGCTATTTTAAATAATTCGTTTATCAGAGAAAACAATATTATTTATAGAGATATTTTATTGAAATTTCTGTGAATTATGTAAAAAATGTTGGTTATAGTGCATGTCAATTTTTAACTTTAAGATATTAGTGAAACGAAAAAGATTGAAAAGGTTCGCGTATTTCTGGGACAACCCTCGTATATATATATATATATATATATATATATATATATATATATATATATATATATATATATATATATATATATATATATATATATATATATATATATATATATATATTATATACAAATGGACCAATCTTGGGCAACTCTTTTCCCAGCTATGGTAAAAGAAAATATTTTTTCAGAGCTATAAATTTTTCATTAAAGTGTATAGTTATAATTCTTTCTCAGGCAAATTTAGGATCTATATCTGCTCTTTCAAGAGGTGGAAAAATTGTTTATCCATATGAAACCAGCCAGTTTGCTAAGTATACTCAGAATATGGTAAATAGAATTTTAAATTTAAATACTATTATTAAGATTAACCCACTATGCAAATAAAACTTAACCTTATCATAAAAGGTATTATTTCATTTAATGTTGTGTATGAAGTCTTTCATCCTATTTTAAGTAAATTCTAAATAATCTTTTTTTCTATTTTAGGAAGCTGCATCACTTATATCTTCATCATCCAGATTTGAAAGAATAGACAAAGAAACAATGATGTATTTAATTTCTCAGGCTATGCCCGGAAAGGAATTCACTGACAAGGATAAGGTACAATTTGTAAATCTTGATACATGTTAATCAACTTTAATCGATGTATAACTTTCTCATACCCATCACAAACCCTAAAGACACAAAAATAGTTCTACAATATCATGTTTTCTTTTTTAAGGAGGATATTTTCGAAATATATACAAAAAGGTCCTTATTTATACCAATGGATGAGATTGAAGAAGAGGAAAACAGCGAAAATAATAAGGATTCCGTTAAAGAGTCGGACCCTAGTATGCCCCCGTTAGGCAGTAGAGTAAGGAAGAGTCCAGACGGTCCTTGGGATACCCTAGAAAGACATATTATTGGAACGGTAATTAAGCATTCTAAAAATGGTAAGTTTACAAATTAAAGTGCCTTGAAGTTTTTCAAAACCTCGGGAGAAACATTACAAAATCTGATTGAGTAATTAAATTTTTCTGTGGATACAGATTATAGAAATTCAACCTGTCTGTTCTTCTCTACGAGGGAATGACAAAATATGGTCAATTTAAATAAAGTGTGATGCAGAGGATAATTATGTAGCAAACGCAGATAATGCGTTCGAGATACTATCATAAAGAAGTCCTGAAAAAATCATTTCCTAATATTCTTGAACGCAATTGAATTTCAACCTAAATAACAATCACAGTCGTACACAGATGCAGAGATAATATGAATAATATATAAATTCATCTTCCATGGGGTCCCAATATTATGCACGTGTCCAAATGGGTAGAAATTTAATTTAATTCGACTATTTAATGGTATATAGCTGATGCACTTACTCAAACATTGTGATTATGATTGATTGATTGATTAGTAATTTTAGGTCTCATTTGAGAATTTTTCTCTCATATAGAAACGCCAGCATATACCATTGAAGAGCTTTAAATTTAGACTTTTAATCGGCACTGAGGGCCTTTGAGCAGCTGGGGTTCTCTATCGTGCCAACGCCTGTCGTGACACGGGACCTCGGTTTTTAAGGTCTCATCCGAAAGATCCACACCTTTCACTTCAAAGAACCGAGCGCTTATCGAAATAACAATTGCTACCTGTTTCTTTATCGAGTTAAGTCAGCCGTTGTCAGGGTTTAAACACACGACCTTCTGATCAAGGAGCTCAAACATTGTGATTATACACGGGCTCAGCAGTGATCAAATCTTCGCGGGTATGTTAAGGCTACATCCAGAGATATCCTACTTGACTTTACAATATGACGTCATAGTAAGCTGTATGACGTGAACTTTAGAAATAGTGATTTCTTAATATCTATATTTAAAGTTTAATTTCAGGTCCAGGAAATGAATGGAATCATTCAAAACATAATATAAACTAAATCTTCGTTTTTGGGGTGGTATAAATAGCTACGTATTTAGCACGGGGGTTAAATACCAAACCCATGACGTCATAACTATTGATCAAATGTTTGCCGAGTGAAATTAAACATGACGAGAATTCATGTAAACAAATATATGAAATGGGAGTTTTAAAGCATATACCGTGAATGTTATGTGTGATTCATAAGGAATTAAAGATTAAGAATCAGGTACGCTGATATATTCTTATCATGTTTTCTTATAATGAACACAGGAAGTACTTTGAAATCCCGATCAGCCTTTCCTCTGTCGTTCTATAACAACAAAGATGCAAAAATTCAACACTACACCGCATACTTTCAAACATATTTTTTGTTTGTATCGAAAGCTTGTATTCTATAGTACTTGGAAAGTGCTGCTAGAATCGTGTGGTTAACATAAATTGATAACAATTCCTTGATTGTATATATAAAATGTAAAAATTTTGGTAAGGTTTCATGCGAAACTTTTGAATATTTTTTTCTGTGTCGGGAGAGTAGGATTCTAGGAGCACTTTTCATGGCCCAGTGATGTTTTTACATGATTATTTTCACGAAAAAAATGAATTATCTCCGGGCTAGTGTTGAACTTTTCACTTTTTCATTAAGGCATTTTTTCTATTTATAGACGTCACGTGATGACGTCGTAGTGGAGTGCTTCTTTTAGCCTAAGACTCAATGACGTCTATACAATGTATAATAATAGTAAATGTTTTATCTATGGCTTTTCCGATATATCGATGATACATTTTACGAAAAAAGTCTAAATTCGCCGAAATATGATCTGGGTACTGCCTTAACATACCTGCGTTGTTTTCCATATGCAAACCTTCAATATTTGCAAATTATGTTGACTCTTATTTCTTTTAAAATAGCTAGTGTGAAAAAAAACCCTTCAACCTTTTCCTACTTTAATGACTATTAGAATACCATGAGATTGTTGTTTTAGAATTCTGCCTTTGGTTCTTTTGCATTGCATATGATTACGATTGAATTGGTTTCATCAAATGAATGTGAGATGAATTTGCCAAACATGTCACTTTTGTAACATCATGTTCACATGTTAGATATAATAAAAATTCCAAATACGCACCATTGTATTCTTTTCTCCTCTGGTATGTGTGCACATTTTTTATACACACAAACTCTTAAAAGTGTTAGCAAGAATGAATGTATTTGCACACCAAAGATTCATATATCTGTTATACCGATTTAAACCAACAGCTGGATGGTTGATTGTCCAATGGGATGGAGGTTCTATAGATAAATACAGATATGGATTATCCAATGAACATGAATATAAATATGACGTTATCGTTTGCGATGTACCAAGAATATTGGAGAATGAATTAATAGCCATTGGATGTTTGGTTTATAGAGGTATGCGTTTTGTTATCTTGTGTTAAAGTGTTGGCAAAGTCTCAAAAAGATGAAATTTGATCATGATGATAGCTATATAAATTTTAAATACAGAAACATCTGAAATAGGCACATTGCTAAGAGAGAGAGAGAGATATTTTACATTGTAAAAAGTTTTCAAATTAACATATATATAATCCTTTCATCAATAGGTCCAGACTGGAGATTTCATGATCAAGATGGGGGAGAAGGAAGTATAGGTTCGGTGTACAGCGCAACCCCTAATGGAATTGTTGATGTAAATCCAACTTGTTTATTACCTATACACAAGTTTTTAAAACTTAATAAGTAATTCCAATATATGATTTTTTTTTCATACATGTGAATTTGACAAATTATCCTTTTCATTTACCAAAATAGGTCCGCTGGGAAAATGGCACTAAAAACAACTATCGATTTGGATATGATGGTAAATTCGACCTGTCTATGTGGTAAATATCCCTTTATTTTTCTTACCGTGTATTTCACAAAGCCAAGTTGTGGTTTATGTTTTTCCAATAGAGAAACTCTGCATATGGATTTAAAACTTTGCGCTTATTGGCTGTATCCACTTAAATAAGCTTCAATGACTCCTTCCTTGAGTATATATATATATATATATATATATATATATATATATATATATATATATATATTTAAATAAATTCCGTATACTCATTCGAACATGATGTGCAGACGCCAGTTTTTGCTTAAACCCACAATGATATATTTGATGTCATATGATTTATAGGCACATTTGTCTTAAACATACAAAGATGATAATAATATCATTATTTTTCAGCGACCCTTTCTCGGCGGAGGCAAACAGATTTTTACAAGATCAAAAAAGACGCGCTGCCTCTAAACTTCCAGAATCAATGCAATACATTTATACAGATATTTCATCTACAGGTATCAAAACCAAAGCAACAATACAAATTTTAATTCATATCTGTTTTATGATAACTTTCGAAAGATATCAAATACGAAAAATCTATCATTTATGCAATTTATTTGATTATTTTAACAGATACGCCAAGATCAGGTGAAGAAAAAATGTTAAAAATTGGAAAGGAGACTAATATTGGCATATTTTTGAAAACTCAAAAAGGGGTATATTTCAAAAATGACACAGTGGAAAATGACAAGGATTCAGACTTAGATATAGATTGTTCTGACGTCACATGCCTGTCTATAAATTGTGATCACTGGTTATGGAAAGATAGAGATGGCACCTGGAATCATTACTCAAGAAGGATAAATGATAAATTGATGAAGAATTTTAAGAGAAATCCAACCTCAACTGTTGTCATCACATTAAAAGATGATTTGTAGGTTCATCCTGTGAAAGAACTCTATGTTTTGTATTACTTGTTACAAGTTTTAGAAATGAATTTTCCCTTGAACTTTGTATATGTATCGTCATATTTTAAATATTTATTATTTCTTTTTATCTTTACTAGGTACAGAGTGGTTTTTGCGAGGGATATACAGATTAACTTGATGACAAGGGAAAAGATGGAAATTAAACTAGTTAAAAATGAAATTTAAGCGTTTTACATACATTTTATAGTTATCTGAAAACCAAACCCCAAAAACAATGTGTATAGAAATTATGGAAATGCAAAACTACTACAATTACAAAAACACGCATTATGATCTTCGAATCTTAGGCGAATAAGGTCATGGCTGAGCTATGTACAGTGTAGCTATAAAAATGTGCCCTATGATCAGATGTTTAACAAATTAAACTACAGTTAATGAGAAAAAATGTTCATAACTTATTAAAATTAAAAAAAAAAAAATGAAATTTCAGCGAGTGATTATGTCAACTAATAAAGTGTAAAAATGCTCTTTCGGCAATACTGGTGGAAATGAAACCATGTCGACTCAGCCCAAATGGATCATCCAAGCGCATAATGCAACCATGAGAACAGGATAAAATGAATTTACAGCCTAGCAAGCTAGCGACAAATCAAGTTTGAAAGTTATGCAGACATTTTTTTAGTTCTAAATTGAATTTATTGAAAGATAATTACAATAGTTAAAAGTGTGTGAAAATTAAATTTTATTAGTAGTCAAAATTAGAAAGGTCTACCAAGACCATCAACCCCCACCCCATCATTTTTGATCTATTTTTATGAAAAATTCTAATAAAAAAAAACGTCTAATGAAAAAACGCTGAGATAAAATCATTCATGAATGACAATTTTACTAGATGTAATATAAATATATTTGTTATTATATATTAATGGGAATGAAAATCTTGAAGCAAATAGATAGCTTTAACCCACAATTAAATGAAAGGATTAACATAAATTATGATGATACACTTCTTACAGTTTAAATTCTTTTGCAACAATTCAAAGCAAAAAATATGGTGAAAATGAATATACATTAAGAACAGGCATGTATTTAAGGGCTTGCAAAGATAGATATTGTATCTTTTATAGCGTAAAACATGTTCCTAAGTACATTCATTATTTCTCAATTCCTGTAAGATATATGTAAATCAGATGTCATTTAATTTATCTAATTACGATATCTTTATACCTTTTCAAGAGTTGTAAGTCCAAAGTTAAAATTCTCTTAAAAAACAAAGAAATTTCATTTTCAAAAAAAAAAAAATTCCTTCCCATTTGACATTTTAAGAAGTTAAATTTAATGTAAGAAATGCATGTATACCTGTACATGTATATATTCATTGAAAATAAATACCAGTAAATTATTCTATTGTATGGAATCCTTTATATATTGAAATTTTTTTAGTAATAAACTCTGCGAGTCAGTTGTTCAGCTTAAGAACAAGAGGGTTTTACTATATTGTATATAATTAGCTATCGCAAGTAAACAAGAAACTGCCTGTAATCAAATCAACATTGATATGCCTTGGTGTGTAAGAATAACTATTTCTTATAGTTAAAAAAGGGCAGATAAATAGTTTAAAAAATGAATATGCAGAACGAGATATTTTCTCGTCACTCGTTGCCTTACTCAGTACATGAACAGTCATACTGTTGTTACAGTTTTTTACTCTGCCCACAATGTAAGTATTTCATATATTTATCTTCTTACAGTTACTTGTATTATGCTTATGAATTTTCGGCAATGAATTTCTTTATTATTTTCTTCTAAACGTATGTGAAATTTGACTGTTAAATTTTTACCGAGAATTCAGAGTAGCTAAATTTGTAATATCTATTGTCCATTTTTGCTGATATTTGCAAAGTGTTTCTATTTATATAATGCTAATTTACATATTTATCTCAGTATCATGTTCTATTTATTGAGAATATAGGTATTTTTCAATTTTTTTTTTTTATAAATTTCGTAAATTTGAGCATTGTACATCACATTTATTATTATTTTGTCTATTGTAGCTTTTCACCGTACGTATGTATCATCACATTATTGAACTATGGAGTTTTCAATAAAAGATAAAAAAAAACGGTTTAACTAGTTGTAATTTATGGAGGCAGCATGATAAAAGATTACAGAGTTTCAACTACACAGTCATGGCTCATAACCTGGGGAGGATTTCTACAGAGAAGGTGAAGATACATCACCTAGACTGCACACACTCACACCTAAAGCACAGGTGCGATACCTAGAAGTTCACAGGTATTGACACATACTTTCACGCCTCTCAGAGGATATCAAAAGTGTTTTGCTAGAATGTGCATCATGTCCAAAAAAAAAAAAAAAATCAATGTACTAAGGTCTTTAAAAGAAAAACTTGAAGACAGTTTGAAACGTTACCAAGATTTTCATGAAGAATTCAGTATTTACCTCATGTATCAATAGAACATACACAGCTGATAGCTTGGGTGAGTTAGACTCTCTACAGAAGGAATTTAGTAAGCTGGATAAGAAGGTGAACAGCGCATTAGTGAAAGTACAAGATGACTTGACTTTGTTCAGTTGGAAGCTATTTCAAAAACAACTCATAGGACGGCTAGTTTTAGATCTACAACTCTTAGTAGAAGTTCATAACAGAAAGCTGAAGAAGCCAAAGCTCGATTAAAAATTGCTGAACAGTCTTCACAACTTAAAAAACAAAAATCCAAAATCGCCTTCGAAGAGAAAATACACAAAGCCCAAAGTCAGCAGCAACAAGAAGATTTGGATACAGAATAAGATCTACTGCAAAATCAGGAAGAACTTAACATTGCTTTTGTTAATATGCGTCTGAAATTTGAACTTCAAGAGGAGGAAGAAAATATTAAACATCAAGATTCAAAACCCAGTGTTCCTAGATTAAGTGTGTCTGGAGAGCAGAAAACCAAAAACTTTGTTGACAATCTCACATTAAACCCCAATGCTGAGCCTTTCATATTTAATTGTGGATCTCGTGCAACTTTCAACAGGAAGTTCACCCTGACACAGATAAAGAAAATAATCCTGTACGTATTTCAGACGTCCATCATTATGGTCATCAGAGAAACGTCGACAATTATCGTTCTCCGTTGCTACAGATACCAACACAATCTACTGTGAATTTACCATCACAAAACTATTCAGATGCCTCAAACTTCCTTCTCAAGAAGAATTTACTGTTGGAAAGTTTTCAGCAACAACTTTTTTTACGACAAACCAGATAGATATGTAGTGTGGAAAACACAGTTTAAGACTATGGTGTCAGAAATAAGATGTTCACCACTAGAAGAATTAACTCTTTTGAGTAACTGTACAAACAAAAACTCAGATGCTCACAGACTAATTATGAGCCTTAGAGCTTCCTGTGCAAACAATCCGGAGTTATGCTTACTTAATATCTGGATACGTATGGATGAAAGATTTGGATCTCCTGAGTTAATAGAATCATGTTTGAAATTTAGACTGCAAACTTTAACAGATTTCACAGATCACAAGAAGCTGTATGAACTACATGACCTACTTTGTGAGGTACAAGCCGTGAAAGGTATTCCAGAATACAGTGTGATGTTTTCTTACCTTGATTCATCTCTTGGATTAAAACCTATAGTTCAGCGACTTCCTCGATATCTAAAAAGAGAAGTGGATTAATCGTGTGGTTCATTACAAGAAAGAACACTGTGTAGTCTTCCCTCCTTTTAGTGAGTTTCTAGCTTTTATTGGTGAGATGAGCATCATCAGAAATGATCCTGGATTAATGTTTAATACTTGGAAGACCGCCTTGAACGCAAAGGATAACATAAAGTTGAACCTACTGTGTTTACCCACAAAACTGACATTTCATCTGAAACAATGAATGCTGGACATCAATGTATGATTCACAAAGGATCCCGACATACCATAAACAAGTTTAAAGCTTTTAGAACCAAAAGTTTCGAGGAACGCAAACATATTCTACGTGATCATAACATTTGTTTTCGTTGTTGTGAAACGTCACATCACTTTGCTAACCACTGCAAAGCCAAAGTTTTGTGTGATGTGTGTAGAAGTACTTACCATTGTACAGCTCTTCATGAGGATGTTAATAGATGTCAAGGAATTCTTCTTCCCGACTAAACTATGGCGAGAAGGAAAACTCACCTTCTGGAATCGTGAAGCAGTCAGTTACTTCGAACTGTACTGACATTTGTGATGAATTTAGTGGAAGTCATGTGCAAGAATCGTACCAGTGCGTGTATTTGTTCAAGGTCAACGTCAAGCATCAATTGTGACTTACGCTATGTTGGACGACCAGAGCAACAAACTCTAGGTAAAAGTTACCCTTTTGACTCTCTGTTTATTAAAACTCCTCCAGTTGACTACACAATGCAATCATGTTCAGGCAAGGTTACCAGTAGTGGGCGTGTTGCTGACAACCTTATCGTCGAGCCAATCAATGATAATCTTCAGATGAAATCGCCACCTGTCTTGGAGTGTGACAACATACCAAACAGTCAGGCAGAGATTCCTACACCGGATATTGCTCGTCATTATCCACACATGCAGGATATTGCTCGAGATCTACATCCGTTAGATCCGTCTATGGAAATCCTACTTCTTATAGGACGGGATCTTCCAGAAGCCCATCACGTTATCGATCAGAGATTAGGACCATCACAATTTCCTTTTGCTCAACAGTCTCCCTTAGGATGGACAATTATTGGAGATGTTTGTCTGGGAAACACATTCCACCATTACACGTCAACAGAACTTTCATCGATAGAAGTGGTCGACCTACAATGTTGGAACCTTGCAAACAAACATTAAACATACAAAACACTGTCATCACTACGAACAAGACTGTTATCGGAAAAATAGATATATAAATTATAGATAGGAATTAATGGAAAATTGTGTTTTATCGATTTATCATTCATGCACCTGTGTGAAAAAGTAATGCAGTGCTGTGATGATAGTTTGTACAATACTGTCCTCTCTTTGGTTCACGAAAAAGCTCATTCCCAATGATATCGAATGAGAACATTTTGAATCATAATCTGATATGCAGAATTAGCATAGTATTTTTTCTTCAATATATATCCTTTAATTGATCATTTTCTCATTTCACTTGTGTGTAAAAGTCTATGCACTAGGAAAGAAAACATGCCGATCCATACAAAATAATCATTATTAAAGGGAGAAACATAGATGGCTTACATTTCTTAGAACTACGTTAAGGACCCATGCAGATTAAGAATTTTTTATTTAAATATCAGATGTAAGAGGACATATTCAATGTCACTTAAAATAAATTTAGCAGTTCCATTTTAATTGTCAGGAAAGGAATTGTGACGTCTTCTTTACATTTTATAGACAATTGCAAGTGCTCTTTATTCTGCAAAAATGTTCCTTAGCTAACATTAGTAATCTTAATCCAATAGCTGCAAGTGTTTCAATAAATTATATAAAACGATTTAAATACCACATTTCCCATTGAATTTGATCTTTGCTAGTTCACTATAAGTAAGATCATGAGCTCAAGTGCAAATTTATAGCATTACAAATTATCATTTCCTTCCCTTCAAGGGTTCTTCCTTGTGTTTGGACTGTGGGTGGATCAGATTTGTTTTCACCAAATGATGGTCATACATTATCAAAGCTTTCAGTTCTAGTTTTACTGAAAGTTAATTAAGAATTATAAAATTTACAAAAATGGCATGTCAAATGTTTTTAATGCCTAAATATAACACATATTTACAATTCAATATTCTGCAGATCTATATCTTGTATACAATACAAGCTTTATGTGAATCTATAATTGATAATATATGATTCATATCGAAGTTATTGAAAACATATTGAAAACATATAAATAATAAAAGAACTTCAGGATTGCTATAGTTTTGAATATTGTTTTGAACGATTTATTTCACAATTTGCAATATTTTTTTTAAACAATGTATGTACGAGGTTTCTGTATTTTATAATTATGTAAAATTAAACAATTGGAAATTAATTAACTCTAGAGGACAAAGTGATTAACAGATTGCGAAAACTATGCATCATTAAAAGGAATAGTTATTTTCTCACGCTTATTATCAAGTCAAGAAAGCATAAAATTAAGCAGACAATACATTATTTACATAATAAACATATTACTTATTTTGGACAAATAAACATTACGGATGGGACTATAATTTATTTTACGTCTAAATAAAAGAAACATTTAACATATGATCAACATGGTAGAATATTAAAAAATTTCCAAAAGAAAATAAAGTAGCACCCCTTGTAAAATGTTAAAAGCTTTGTATCCGTGTTTGTATTATTGTAATAAGGTTTATCATTTAAGAGTTTTATAATAATTGAAGAAAATAACTCAAATTTTAATCCCTGCAAAAGGAAACCTTTAGCTAAACTGTTAGGCCTTTTTTATACTAAATTTTACTACGGAATATTCCGTCCACCTGTTCAATACTTTGGGCTCACTGCGGGTATGACCGGTCAACAGCGAATGCTTACTCCTCCTAGGCACCTCTTGAATTTCCGGGAGTCCGTATTGAACGCCCTATTCACAGATTTGTATTGTTGTAGATTTTTTTGAGATCGATCACTTTTTTCATCTAACAAAATTAGAAAACTATAAAAACGGTTATATGTAACATGTAATAAAAAAAAAATGTTGGACTGCTCTCGGGGAAAAATTAAGTAATGATTAAGTAATGTTTTTTATTTGTCTAAATGGCAGTAACAACTGCAATGCTTTTACAACTTTTATTTAAAGGTAATTATAATGTCTGAACGATTCCTAAAAAAATCATTTCATGGCACCACATATTGTATCATTTGCAACATTACACACACACACTCACACACACACTCACAGGAAAAATACCGGAAACATGAGACAGGGAAGGAAAGCTCGAATAATTTTACATAAATAGAGGAAAAGAAAACATCTGGCGTGGATAAATAAATTATCTCCCAAAGGTTTACTTGTCATTTTATTTGTCATGGGAGACTTTGCTTTGGAGAATGCCCAGCAGGTTTGGAGGCAACAAGCACATCTTGATTCAATAAAAAGTAAGTTGTTAAGTATCACTGAATAAATGAGAAAGACTTTTTGATTAACAAAATAATATAGGAAAACTGCATATCCTGCAAAGGGGTGTATATTTCAGGATAAGTAAGAACATAGAAATTTATGAAATAAATACAGTAATAGTAAAGCAAATAAATTGACGATAGTCATAACCTGCTATCGACATTATTTTCTTTCATAATGACTATATCTCACACTATACATCGCGTTTGTGTTATTAAGTTATGATAAAATAACGATAATTTTTTCAAGCATCTATATAGCTCGCATGCATTATAACTGGTTTCAATTTTAAAACATTTTTAGTTCCTTTTGAGAAGCTTAACCATTTGTTTTCAAGCATCAAACCGATTTTTTAGATAAAGAAAGGAAATACCAACAGGGAAGAGGGCCATGCAATATTTTCATTCTAGACACTTCATCGAAGGTCGTCGAAGATGGCTTCATACAAATGAAACAGACATTCTGCACCATTATGGATGGTAAAATAATGTTATTATTCTATCTCTAATGGTTATTATATTTGAATTTGACACAGAGAAATGTCAAACGCCAATAACAAGTTAGATTAAAACACATGTACAATAAAATATATATATATATATATATATATATATTAACCACCCAAAACCACCCAATGTAATCATATCAATTTAAATTTCATAACATTCTACCACATGGATCAAAGTCTGACCACGTTTTCAATTGATGTATATTATTTTATCTCATTTTAATTTATTCTCTACTAAATGTAATTTATATTTGATATCACTATGCTTTCATCACTCATATGAAATATTTTTTTAAGAGTATTCCAAATACCCGGAGACAGATGAAAATGTAGCTGTAATAATATGCGGGAGGACAACAGCATTCAAATACCACTATTCTAATCAATACAACCAAATAAAACGCTGTATTGGTAATCATCTTTAATTCTGAATACACACTTAAAGTTACACCGATACGGTTCATTTTTATGCTTATCCCTTTTTGATCCATTCTTCGAGTTTTTGCTCTATTTTAGCCCTTAACTTACATTTCAGTATATCCTTAAGATGTAATTAGTTGTATCATTAGAACCCTATCATATTAAAGAAGTATTAGCAGACAAAATTTGATTCCATTAAGGAGTTTTTATATAAGATTGTAACGCTTCATGTTTTTTTATCATAATTCTGGTGATAATAGCAGTTATAAGGCACCAATAATAAAAGATGGCAAATATCTTTTCAAATATTTTAATATAAAAATTTGTTGAAAAGTTTCACAACAACTTTGCACATGGCTAACATATTTGCCTTTTTTTCGGAACAATGTCAGAAAACAAAATTAAGTTAAACTTTATTTTTAAAAAATGTAATTTAACATTTTAAAATTTACAAGGAAACTTAAATAGTTCATGTTGTAACTGTAACAATATCAAATGATGATGTGAAATGGTGAAAATAACGGTCAATCTCATTTGAATTGATATCAATACGATTGGCGAATGGGGGAAAACCCTGGAACTTAAACAATTCAAAACAGAAACGGCAATATTAGAATGATTTGTTTTAACAATCTCTGCATACAGGAAAAACATCTCTGACATCGCAGGAAAACTTTGGAACAGCTGAAAGGATAACAACATAAGCATATCTGCTACATATATCAATCACCCATCAAATATTCACTTTGTGCGTAAAATGAATGATTTTTTTTTTAGTTTTTGCAATATATCTGACCATTTAAAATCAGCCTCAAATTGTAATATGTCAAAAATATTTTTATTTAGAAGTTAAATCAACCATCATTAGTTTCAAACTTTGCACATGTCTGTATATGTTCTAGTAGGGTTTTTTCTTCAAATTTTCAAATCATAAAGCGTATATAATAAAATAATATGAACATGTTTCTTATCTTTAGATTTGTTCTTAGATAATATAAAATTTCGTATCTTTTATTTTGACTGAAAATAACATTGTTGGAAGTTAATGTTAACATATATATATATATATAGTGAAATTGTAGTAAAAGTCCACGGTATAGGTAGGTTATAAATTAAAATAAAATCCAAGATAAACAAACAAGTTCACATTTAATTATTACACTAAGCGCTTTCGCCGTGAGGCTCTTCAGAGTGTAACAAAGTTTATAAAAACAATACAACTCCATATACTTTATTTTAATTTATATATATATATATATATATATATATATATATATATATATATATATATATATATATATATATATATATATATATATATATATATATATATATATATAAAATATTATATGATATATATATATATATATTAAATACATGTATCAATACTTTTGCATATGATCCAATTAAGATATGCAATTCTAAAAGTTTTTTTCATTAAAGTTTTAAGTGAAAATATTTAGATACTTTTTTTAAAAAGAAGATTCAGTAATCATTGTATATTTTAACAGATGACGTTGAACATGGTGGACCGTCTCCTCTGACATCTGCCTTTCTTCTTTCTTTAGGAGCAATTCTCAATGGTGCAGGTAGTTTTGGTATTCTCTTTTAACTATGATCGATTACTTTAAGAGATTAGTTTTTGTAGTATAAAACTAATTTACAGTACTCAGTTAATATACTAGATTGAGTTTCTATTATCAAACATGCACTTTGTAAGGGTATTCAAAGATGATTGGAGAGTTCAACGTTTACACACGTATCTTTCTTATTTCCGAGGGAAGACCGACAGATTTTACCATAATGAGGGACGATGAGTTACCACTTCATGGACCAGATGAGGTATTATGTTCGCTTACAAAATACAGTTTAGACCTTATTTCAAAGAGTTTGTTCTAATGCATATCGATTGGCAATCAAAATAATGTGTTTGTTTCTAAATTTGTGTTTAGACTTAATCTAAAACTTTTATTTGTTTTCGAAATAAAAAAAAATGTAACCTTTTCGGGGGCTATTAACAAATTGTGTAATGTTTCACACAGGTTAAAGATCATTTGCACCAGATTGCAAAAATCATTGGAAATCCCCATCCAATTTATTGCATCCCAGTCGGGAAAAATCCAGACATGGTAGGACCACCTTTTACCGTAAAGTTCACCTATTTCACGTCTTAAGAACCAAATTCTTAGTTTGAAAAGAACTTCCCACAATTTGGGATATCTGGTTTAAAAAATAAATAAATGAGACTTTTTAAGGTATGTCACTCGCGATATGAGTCAGTGAAGGAATTTTTGAGAAGTATATTTTAGATAACTACTCATATTATAACTCAAAATCGCAAAGAAAATTGAGGGTCAGTGTGCATCTCACTGAGCAACGGCACCATTTACAGGACCTTTTGCACTTAAATTGTAATTTTTATGTTATTCACTTTAATCTTTATCATATTATATCAAATTTAATCATGGCCATAAATATAATTTAATTTTTTGTAAAATTGTTTGAATAATATTTATTGTTTTGGGTTGCAACATCGATTAATGAATAAACAAATTCAATAGATACTTAATAAATTTTATCCCGCTTCAGACGAATTTGTAGATTACTGATTAGATTAAAGCTAATCACATGACGTCCTGAAATTTTTTCATATTACGTCTATGTCAAGGGGTAATATTAAAATCGGGCACGCGAAGCTTCGTTATTGTATATTAAAATGGTGGCTTAGAAACGCTTTGCGTAGGTAGTTAAATTTCTTGTTACTTGTTATGATATTTAAAGTTGTTTGTTATTGGATTAAAACTTGAAATTTTGTATGCTTATACATGTAGATTTCTTTTAAACATTAAAAAGGGTCTTCAGTAAGATAAAATCGTTACACAGTTAGTTAGGGATCTAATACAGGGTCATACATGGTGTGAAATGGAAGTCCGTATTGGGGCTTCGCCTAGCCCAATACTGATTTCTATTTCACACCCTGTATGACTCTGTATTAGGTCCCTAACTGACTGTGTAACTAATATTACGAATCCAAGAGAAATCTATCGCAAATCATTGAAAAACATATGTGAATATGTTAACTAATTCTTCTGTGAAAGTCAAATAAGTGACACATGGACATGTCATTGCAAGGAAGAAATAAAATCATTAAGCGGAAATAATTGTGATTTATGTCATCAAAGACACGATTGCATTATTTTTGTATGCATCATTCATAACCTAACAATCATAGTATATTTCTTTTAAGCTAATTTATAATCTGCATTATGACTTATACGCTGGAGAAATGTAATTACGAAATAATTTTCAGCAATGTTTCTGTGTTCAGAGGTATTGACAGAAACTTCATTTTCATTAGGTTAACTTAGGATTTATATCTTCACTTTCAAGAGGAGGAAAGATTATATACCCTCATGAAGCCAAACAGCTTGCCAAATATTCCGTAAATATGGTAAAAGAAATTTCATGATGATTCAAGTAATTGCAAAAATGAAATGTTGTAATTTTGACAATAAGAGTTGATATGATGAAGTGCTTTTGCAGAATACTTAAAACTCAGAATAGATCTTGTCATACATGTATTATTGTCTTTTAAGTTTAACTGTGCCAAAGATCCTGGTCGAAATTTGTAAATCGTCAGTATGCTTGTGTCTTTCCGCCCTTGTTTAATTTTCGACTTCCACCCAAGAAACAGCGTTCAAATTTCAAACGAACCTGCCATAAAAAACCTTTGAATTAAAGTTTGTGCAAATGAAGGACAAAGTCGTCTTTCAAGGAAAGATAAAATTAAGAGATAATATAAATAGCATAGAATTATTGAATGCAATGCAATTTCGTAATGAATGTTAATGTATTTTGTTTGTTCAATTATAGCCAATTTGGAAGGTGGGGCTACGATAAGGATTGAAGTTTAACGTGGAATGATAAAGGGGGGAAAACTTTGAAAAAAATCAAGTAGATCCGGTCATGACAAATCATATCATTATGCATGAATCCTCATGTCACTTTAGTTTATAGATCATGAAGAATCTCCATGTATTGAGAATTTAGGTTTGACTAAAACATGACCCCCTTCAGGATAAGGTGAGCCCGAAGAACAAAGATGTAAAGTTGTCACAGGTGAGCATTGTGACCAATAGACCTTTGATTATTTGGATATTCGTAAAGAACAAAACATTTTAAACCATTCAGGATATATCTTCTTCTATGGACTAAATTAAAATTTTCGGATATTTTTTTTTGTAAGAATCTAGAGGGGAAATTCTTAAATTAACAGTTTTCTTATGAAAAAGAAGAAAGGTCAAAAATTTTTAATAAAAATTGCTATTATTATTATTCTGATTTACTTAAAACAATTTTCCTCTGGTGTGATGAACATTTTCTCAGATTTATTGTATGCATACCTCGGCAGTTATGGACAAAGTACGCTAAAGATAGTATGGAACAATTAGTTTTCATGAAAATCCTTTCTTAAATATTATTTTTTCTAAATTTAGAAAGCAGCTTCGATAATATGCTCGATAACAGAGTTAAATGAACTTGACAGAGGAACGATTTCACATTTACTGACTCAGGGTCTTTCTGGAAGGGACTTCACTGAAATGGATATGGTATTTTGTAACTCTTATGCATAATGTTCAATTAACATTTTATGCTATTTTTGGTCGCCCGCAGAACAGAGCGACATCAGGGGATCACTTTACTTGGCGTCTGTCTGTCTGATTGTCTGTCTAGCTGTCCATCCGTTTGTAACACCTTATATCTTGAAATCTGTAAGAGGTATGAATTTGATATTTTGCATATACAAGGGCTGTTCGGAAATTATTGAGACATTTACTTTTACTCTATAAAGGAAAGATATAAATTCATGAAAATTCGTCAACATTTTATGAAGAACAAATAATACAAATGCAAAAATATCAAATTAATAGGACAATTAGGTAAGTCAGGTGAAATGATAAACTTGCATATGTCTATTGACCTGGAACAACATCGCTACGTAATTTTAATGTCACCCCAGCCTTAAATCTTTTCTCCTTTTAAAACGATCGGGAAGCGTTAACTATTCTCTCTCTATCAACACATACATGTATTATAGCATTTTAGAAATCAAATTCTCTCTTTTCTTAAACGATTCTTTAAAAAAAAATGTTGTTGCTACCCCACTGTAAAGTTACATGAAGTGTCATATACAGGTTGACTTACGATTTTTGCATAAGTCAACGTTATTTAGTCTGTAATAATTGGTGGTCGTCCGGAGCCTTTGTTTTTTCTCTGGTTGAATAAGATTAGAAAAAAGTATACCAATAAAAAAAAACCCTCTTATACATGTATTTTCGTATTGTTATTGTTTTAGTCTGGACAAGAGTTTTCCACAGCGCTACACAAAATTTTAGGTATGCTCGCTGCGCTTCCTTGACGTCAAAATCCATTTTGCTGTCGTAATCAGATTTCTATTTCAGATTTTTTTTTTTTTTTTTTTTTTTTTTTTTTTTGGTGATCTCCGTATTTCTGATCGAAATTCTAACAAACTTGCACAAAATGAAGTCAAAATAAAATTGAAAATATATGTGCATAACTTGAATTATTATCGCTTGTACTGCCACTCTACCGGGAGTTTGAACGCATGTGCTACATATTTTCAATATATGATTTCGTGACTGTGCCGGGTACCCTTACCATTGGCATATTAATGAGCCATTAAAAAGAAGAAATAAAATAAATGTGAAATATTTCTTCCTTTTTTAATCATCTGTGTCTGTCAAACGTATAAGCCAATTTTCACGCAAAGGTGTTCATCAGAAAGAAGAATAACCACGATGTCTCAATAATTTCTGAACAGCCCTCGCATTTTGGCTTTGGTAAATTACATGGTTACTAACCTCGTGATCCTTGAACTTTGACCTATATTTCAAAGTGCCGATATACAACTTTTTTTTTATTTTAGAGGTAATTTTATGCTAATTAGCATGTGCATTGTTTATCATAAAATGTTATGAAAAATGCCAAAGTTATAGATCATTTGACCTTGACCTTTGACCTACTTTGCAAAAATACTCTGGACTGTTAATTTATCTTACGCGTTTTTAATTTTTAGAGTAAGAGTTTTGATAATTAGCACTTATTTCACATGTTTATGAGCTTATGACACTGTACTGTAAAACAGCATAATAAGCAATGACCACAAAAACTAATATTTAAAAATTATGAAAATAAATCGGGATTGGTATACCAAAATGGATGGTTGTAGACTGACAATTGCAGTAAAGACAGTCTGAAATCTCCTTGAAGGAAGGTTGGATTAAACACATTATCAAATGATAAATATTTATCTCTAATGATTATTTTTTTTAACTTTGAAGTGGAGAATCATATTTCTGATTCTATCACAGTCTTAGTGTCCGTGGATTTTTTAGGCAAATACATGAACTATGATGCTAGTAGCAAATAATAGCTGACGACTATAAGATTTATTTGCACCTTTAATAATGCTATAAAGCAGGCAACACAAGTGTTCCTTTGAACACTCTAGCTAATGATTCGATTCTATTACATGTACCATAATAAACACATTATTGGTAGTAATATTATTATTAAGTCTTTAGAATTGATTGCTACTTAAATATATGTCTATTCTTCAAAAAAATTTTCTTCCTCCAGGATGACATTTTCGATATATGTTCAAAGAAATTATTGTTCACATCTATGGAAGGCACTCAACTACATGTAAGTGGTCACAATTCAGATAACGTAACAGGTGTCTTCCCAGAAAAAGACTCTCAGATGATACCTCTAGGTGGTAGGGTTAAAAGAGGCCCAGACTGGAAGTGGAAAAACCAAGATAATTATTGTCCTGGAACGGTGATCGCATATTCTAAAGACGGTACATGAATTTACTTCAATATAATGTTAATTTAATATAAAAGCAAAAAAAAAAAAAAAAAAAAAGAAAGTGAACAAGAAGGTTGTTTAAATTATGTAACTTTACAATTTTTGAAAAAGAATTGTCAATTTTTCATATCTAGCATTCAAAAACAAATAAATAAGAAAGCATGTATTTAAGCAAATTTTAGAAAATATATATTATTTTTAGCGCAGTTCATAAAATAATTATTTGAAATAATAGTTGGCTGGCTGATTGTGGAATGGGATACAGGCTATTCAAACAGCTATAGATATGGAACAACCAACGTGGAGAAAAATAAATACGATGTTGTTGTTTGTGAAGAACCTAGAATATTAGAAAGTGAACTTATAGCTATCGGGTGCTTGGTTCGCAGAGGTAAGGGACTGATGAAAAGGAAAGTGATATACATATTAAGCTAAAGAAAACAAAATTTTAATAATTAAACGACGACGGACGGACCTAATTCATTTCTGCAATAGATTTTTTATTCAAATTTTAATATGAGGTAAAGTGACTTTTGGTGAGTTAAAATTAATTTTCAAAATCATATGGTCATCGATGTAGATTTTTAATGTGGAGAGTTTCAAAAGTTGACGATGGAAATCGATAATTACTATAGGAAGTAATTGGGAATTGCCAGTGTAGGGTATAAGAGTGATCATTGAAAAAAAAATCTGCAACAGAATTTTTATTTATTTTAAAGGAGAATGTTAACAAGACAATTGACCAGCAAATTATGCCAAAAAATAAATGGGTCATCGATTTTTCAGGGGGGGATGTCAAACTCTGGTGTAGGGCACATTTTGGGGGAAATTTTCAATAAAAATACCTTAGCCAAATAACTCATTTATTTATATGATCAACAAATGAATATAAATCGAAATATTTACAATATTTTTGAGTTTGAATATCTTTAAAAGAATTAATAATGTTTATTTTTAATCATTTGCAATACATAATTAAGTCAATTTGATTCAAGGCATATGCGCGGTTTTCTGCGCAGTGGCGCGAAATTTTGAATTAGGTCCGTCGTCCTTAAGTTCGAAAAAATATCTGTATCAGTAGAGTTTTGGCTTGATAATGGGCCTGGTCAATCAGAAGGCATTCTTGTAACTTAAATTAAGTGTATGCAATTTTTAATCCATTTTGAACCTTGTGTTCTCTAAAAATCATATTTTTAGGACCAGATTGGGAACTTGGTGATCTTGACGGTGGAACAGGAAGTATTGGTGCTGTTTATAGAGTAAAAACAGACGGAATTGTATATGTGCGATTCATTCTTCTTTTTACACAAGCAAACTTTCGATTTTTTTATTCTTTTCTATGCAGCACAGTTAAGGTATATGTGAAGAGGCAGGGCCTTATTTATACGAGTTATTTCACAAAAATTACAAATGGTAATATTAGAAAATGGAAAAATTTGCGATTTTAAACTGCATAAAAAATAAACTACATCAAAACTGACTATTGACCTTAATTTTGTCCTTAGAAAAGGTATAAACAGGTTATAACTGACAGCCTTGTAGTCGGTGACATGACATCGTTATAGTAGAAACTGACGCATTTAGAGTTCATTGAAAGAGGAATGAAGTTAGTTTTTCACCAGTAAAAATGTAAGCAGATAATTGTTTGCAGATATATAATAAACCTTTAATTTAAATACGATGCCTTCTTAACGATTTTATTCATATATTTTCTCGACATTCCCTGGTAAGCACCTACTAGAGTGAAATCGCCGTACATTTGTATGAAAATACATGAAAGGGTCTTAATGAATCGACCTATTGCAAGCCTATGCATTCAATGTATCATAATAAGCCTTTAAACATAAAGCTATGAGACATAATGCCATGCGAAAAGTGCTGCAAACATAATGAAATCTTGCAATTTAATTATCTATTTCTTATACATGTATTATTCTAGCAGACCAGGAAAAAAAATCAGCACGCGGTCTTATAAAAATGATCTTAATATTGATTAGAAGAAACTGTCAACGTTCGAAGTCTTTTTCATAATCTAGAAGTTAAAGATATTTATTAATTAAACTTAGAATTTTTACTTGATTATACCCTTGCAATATTGAATTATACAGATGACCCCTTTTTAAATATTAGTTTTTGTGGTCATTGCTTATTATGCTGTTTTACAGTACAGTGCAGGTATATTTGCTTAATCCACGTGATTGCAACATGACGTGACCAGTCTAAATATTAAATCTTATTGTCTTTAAAATGTTGATTTTATCCATATTTTTTTTCTTCGAAATTTTTCAATTTCTCAAAAAAAAAAAACCGGTCTTTAAAAATGTACCTTTTATCATAGAACTTCAACAATATTTCATAACATGTACGCACCTAAACTGCACTAAGTACAAAAAATGTTTGTAAAATCATCTTCAATTATAGATCCACTGGCGAAATGGTAACAGACACGACTGCAGATATGGCTTTGATGGAAAATTTGATTTGACCTTGTGGTAATAATTTAACTGAAACACTAGCAAAATGTATAATTAACCTAATAGATCTTGCCATTTATCCTATCTGCTAAGCGTCTTTGTATGCATTGATTTTGAACTCAGTAAGTTTGTTTGTTGGGTGGGTTGGTTTGTTGTTTGGTTGTTTAACGTCGCTTCGAGAATTTTTCACGCATATTGAGACGCCACCATTTGTCTGAGAAGGGCTGCAAATTTAGACCTGATTTAGGCACTTACGGCCAATGAGCATTGAGGGATCTTTTTCGTGTCAGCATCTACTGCGTCACGGCATCAGTTTGTACGGTCTAATCCAAAGGACCGGTCTGCAAGTCGCACAGTGGATTCGAACACGCGACGTACATGTAAGAATCAACTCCTTATGCTGCACTCGCAAACGCTCTACTCACTGCACAATACGGGCGATAACTTCAGTAAGTCAGAAAAACACAAAATTCACATTTTCTAAAGATGAGCCTTTTTTATAAAAATAAAAATTTTATAACATTTCTTTTCTAGATCTTAAATTTAATTTTTTTTTCCAGGAAAATGTATTCTAAGCTTATAAATCTTTTACTAAAATTATTATTTTGAAAAAAAAAATGAAATCAAGACTTCTGAATAAATTCTTCCATATGGCTATGTATTGATTGCAGTACATATATATTTGTTTGGCTATATAAATATAGATAGGTAGGCTTTTAAAGCGGATGCATAAAGATACGCTATGGTCCATATGGAGGAAAGTATTTGTACAATAAATCAAAATCCGATACACATGTATTTGTTTTAATTAAAAATTGTAGAACGGGTTACGTTCTAAAAAAGAATCAAAAGTTTTCACCTTTCCGTGAGATTTATAGCTATATATTTTTAAGTTTTGTATTTTATTATGCATGCCTTGATTTCTTTAGCGACCCTTTTTCATCGGAGGTAAAAAGCTTTTTACAAGAGCAAAAGAGACAAGCACAATATAAACTACCTGAAAGCCTGCAGCATATCTATAGTGATGCTTCAACTTCAGGTATTTAAAACTTTACAAATAAATTTCATTAATATTAATATTTTCAGATAAATGTAATGAATTTATAGACTTATGCAAAAAACTTATTTTTAATATCAAGCAAATCATATGAGAACAGTTGATAAGAAAATGATATTAGAAGAAGAAGAAGCAACAAACGGAGCAGGTCCACTTTTAACAATACCTAAGGGGCGTTATTTCAAGAATGACACTTTAGAAAGTGATTCGGCCTCTTCAGATGTTGAGGCTGATTGTGATGAAATGTCAGATATATCCTTAAATTGTGATCATTTCTTATGGAAAGACCAACATGGTGTCTGGAATCATTATCCTAAGAAGATAAATGATAAAATGATAAAATGTTACAGAAAAAACCCTGGATCCACCGTTGTTATATCATTAAGAAATCAACTGTAAGTTCACTTAATTGTTCAAATGTATTTCTTTTAACAATTACAATAATAAAGATATGTAATGGTTCATTTCAATTTTTATTAAGCTGATTGTTTATCATAAGAATGGGGAAAACTCAAATGATATCAAAATTTATTTTACAGATATAGAGTAATTTTATCAAGGAATGTACAAATAGACTTGAAGACAAGAGAAGAATTGGAGATAAAATTCGTAATAGGCGACTAAGTGCTATGTGAAAAGATACAAGTATTATTTACTTTTTCCTTATTGATAAACTGAAGGTTTTTGCTTGAAACTTTTTTTTTCAAAATGACTCGATGGATTTATCATAATGTAAACATAAATATACATGTCAACAATCTTCTTGCTGTAAAACAATTATTTTCCAAACCTAAATTATATAAGTTTATAAAGAAACACTAGTAAATAAGCAAGTGACTGCATGCAATTATTTTGTCATGGAAATATATCATATTTTCTTTCTTATTACAATGAAAGTAAAATGCTAAAATCTTAATAATATTAAATAGCTTATACAGTGCAATACATACTTTAAGAAGAAATGAAACATAATTTTTTTTAAAGATTATTTCATAACACAGTTAAACTTAAGTTAATTGATTACTTAAAAGTACAGTAGTTCAGGGGGAATAACAGTAATTATTAATTTTATGTCAACCACAATCTGTATTAAAATTAGACTGTTTACAACAATATGATTAAGAAAAAAAGTATCATCAACTATATTTTTGCGATGATTGATTGATATAATTAATTTGCAGGACGTATATTCTGTACATAAATCTCGGTTTTGGGAGAGCTCTAAATCTTGGAAGAAAATACACTCACTTTCAAAAGAAATAGAGCATACCTACAAGTGTTATTCAATACATATTTGAATTAGATAAACTGTATAAAAATGCCTGATATTATGAATATTTATTGATAATGTTTTTCACATTTAACACGTTAACACATTTGTTTAAAGACGTGATTATAAGTGAGAAAGATTTGATCGGTACACACGAAAAATGTCAATTTGTGTAAAGTATAAGTTTTGTACATCATATGTTTTACATATTTTGCATAAAAAGCCCTCCATCCTGATATGATAAAAGAACTTCAACCCATCATAACTTGCACAGATTTCTGAGATAAAATCATATTTGTCGGGTATTCGCATCAAAGTAGAAGTGGAGCAGGTATCTTCAATGAAATTCGACTTGCGACTGAAGTGGAACAAGATATAAGAACTTTCAAAGTCATATGATACAAAGACGTAACAAAGAACCATGTGTTACACAAACGTTAATCTTTGGAATCAGAACATGAAGGATTAACATCCAAGGGCATCTGGAACATTATCCATCCTTTCTCGACAAATACGACCAAGTAATACACCAACAAATGAAATATGGGCATCTGGAAGGCTTTATTCAGCTTCATCTTTAAGATCTGAAATGGATAAATTATTGTTAGCTTCTTCTTTCTCACACAAAAAGTAGGATAATAAAGTTGAAAGTAGATTAGTCATCAAGAAGTATTCCAGAGAAAGTTTCTGCCCTGTCATTTATTGATATCCAGTATTTAACACATTTTTCTTTCTTTTCAATTGTTATTGCTTTGAAGGGGAACATTCTAAAGCGTTTGTCCTCAATTTCTATTTTCGAGGCTTTTCAAAATTCTTTTTAGCAACAAGGCTGAGTCTATATAATAAAATTAATGTTCAGTATGCCCAAGGCTATTTAAATTCACGGAAGAAAAGTTATTTCTCCCTTTAAAAGTAATGTGAATTTATGAGTAAAATGAGTTGCGTGTTTTTTCATGGTAATTATTATTAAACTCTAAAAGTATTTCCGGTGAACGTGCCTACACTTGTCCATGTAAGCATCATTAAAAAGAAATTTACCCAGATGACATACACTACACATTTTAGTGATTTTGAACATTTTATGAAATATATCGTTATCAACTTATCTTAATTTAATGAAATAAATAAAGTTGTTGAAAAGAATATGAGCTTGGTTGTAATTAATTTATTCTGTGATTCAAGGATATCAATATCATTTTTTAAAAAAAAAATACATGTTTTTAGAGTTACCTGTGAAATTGCTGTCCCGCGAAAACTTTTGTAGACTTCGATCGGCTGCGCCTCGGTAAACAATGGTTTTCGCGGGATAAAAATTTCACATGTTACCCTAAAAAATCATAGTAATATTTTTTTGTTATAAATACTGAATGTATTTAGACTGTATATTAATATGATGAAATGTACGCGCATACTTGCTGTGCAGTGAACAATTTACCAGTCGTCATGCATTTCCAACAGTTGCTACGTAATGTTACCGGGGGGTTTATGAACACGGTAGAATAAAAGTACTTGTTAACAAATCTTTTAAACCAGAATCAAAATTGACTATTTAACATTAAAGTATAACAATCATAATCATCTTATATATGAATATTCACTTATAGATAGTTTTCATATGACGTATTTTCCCATGGCCGCCATTTTGGTGGTCAACCTTCTTTGTCTTACCAAATTTAAGAGGGTGTAGCAGAAATATTTGGGTAAAAATCTTTATAGGATAAAAACTATGAAATTAAGGAGGCTTTAAAAAATGTATATTTTTCAGAAAAACAATGCTTCCTACCCAACAATGGCCAGTATAAAAAGTTAAAGTTGGTTGAATAATAAAAGAATATGGGCATGTTGACCTCCAATATGGCGGCCAACGGGAAATAACTCCTGCTAATTTAGGCCTACTGAAAACTATCTATATATGAATTTTCCCTACAATGTACAGTATGTTTCATAAACTACTTCAAAAATAAGGTGTTTGAGATGATGATAACGTGAAAACTCTATATGATATAATTATAATTTTAAAATATAAATTTGGATAAATATTAAATATTTGGCTATTGATGCCCAAAAAAGTCATTGATTGTTCAATGTAACCTTTTCAATGCAAACTCTCTCTCTTTCTCTCTCTCTCTCGCTCTCTCTCTCTTACAAATACACACGCGCCCGCACTCAAAGTGAGTAATGTGTTCTATTATGCAATTAATTAACGATGCGCTTAGAATAAGGAAAATCATTGAAGAATAGAGGACAAACACAAGATACAGGGAAGAGAAACCATCAGTTGTGCAATATACATAGATGAACATTATATTATCATTTATGGGAGAAAATGACCTGTGTTTCTTTCACATTATGGATGACTTTGCTCTGGAGAATGCTGAACAATTTTGGCAGCAACAAGTTCGACTTGATTCGATGAAAAGTAAGTCTCTTTTGCTTCCATATGATTTTGTCATAATTATTTCTTGGTTGAAACAGCAGTCAAAACTATTGCATGAGTAAAGATCATATAAAGAAAATCCTTTAAGGAGAATTTATCTTCGAAGGAAAAAATTCGAGATATATAGTTCAAATGTAAAAATTTATATGTTGCTGAATTTAAAACACAAATAATAGAAAGTTGAATTTCGAAAAAATCGAGTTTATTGATCCAAGACTAGCATTCGAAATTGTGTTTTTTTTTATCTTGCTTTTTCACCTTTAAAAATGAACACATAATAATACATAATTATACATCCATCTTGTTCATAATTTGTGTACTTCTATTAAATTCAAATCATCAATTCTAACTTTTAATTGACCGAGCCTAAATTAAATACGATATTTTGTAAACTAAGTATATTACATGTAGTGCTCTTGTAATGTTTCTGGGTTCATTTATTTCGTTGCCTGAGCAATTAGAGGAATAAATCAAATAGTTAATAAAGTTCTCAATCAAGTATTTTATTCAGAAATATATACCAATATCCAATTCTGCCTAAGAGCGCTTGCGCTTCCTAGCTGAGTAAAAACGGCATTCACCAACTCGCGTAATAAAACAATAAAGTATCGATAGACTTCTACAGGGAAGTAGGACTTGTTAATCGTTTAATTTTCTCAGCTAAGCAGAAAACAGGACTTCCCCTTATCTACTTATCTACTTCAGTCTGTAACTGTCTAAGAGCTTCGATGTCACTGCATATATATACCTTAAACTATCATGTGATCCTCTTTAACCATTAGAGAAATCATTTGTGTTTTTTTTTTTAAAAATGAGAATTATTCGTTTAAATCGTGTATTAGTAGTTACATAAATTAGTGGACATGACGCTGCAAAGAATGCGTTAGAGATGACTACAGCTAAAATAAGTATGTCTACTGAATCAGTTCGGATGTATTTTTAAACGTAAGTCAGTGCATTCGTTAACGTTTAATCAGTCCACTTTGTAAAAATTAATGGAAACAATTTCAATTCTTTTATGCATTATTGTTCAGTAATCCATTCGGTACTCTTTTTTTCGCTTACACCCCTTGTTATTTTCACACTTGACATTTTGATATTTATTTGATTGTTATTGAGGGCATTCGTGTCATTCCGACTCAAACATTTTTTTTTCACAAATTTTCGTTAAATTTCCTTCAGAATTCTTCTAGTAAAAAACTTAATACATTGATTTCAAAGTCGAATATTTCAGATCGTGAACGGAGATACCAGCAAGGAAGAGGACCATGCAATATCTTTATACTAGACACTTCGTCGAGTTTGGGGGAAGACGGTTTCATACAAATGAAAGAGACATTCTGCACCATTATGGATGGTATAGCAAGAAAGTACTTTAATTCCCAATTAAACGCTTACCAAAAAATTTTTAACGGATAAAGGGTAAATTCTAGTTAATACCTTATTAAGGTACTTGAAGACAAAATCTGATATCTTCATCAAATACGTTTAACTGGAATATTTGAGAATTTTTTATCATAATTATAATTTCATGCAGCAAAAATGAATTTTAGAATATGATAAATACCCGGAGACAGATGAAAATGTAGCTGTTATAATATGTGGAAGAACCACAGCATTTAAATACCACTACTCTAATCAATATCACCAATTAAAGCACTGTATTGGTAATCATCGTTTATTTTTAAAATTGTGCTTAAACTAAAGGCTATTTTTAACGCTATTTTACTAACAAAATTATTCTCTCATCTTTATCAGAATATTTGGCCTCATAAGGCGTGAATTAATTAGTTCTTTTTCCTGTTGTGAGCAGACCATTTATAATTTTTAAAAATATAAAATTATCCCAAATTGTTAATAAATGAATCATCGACAAAAACTTCCTGCATGGGATTATATTCTAAGCCTTATCTGCACAAGATTTTACCTCTAATATCACTTCTACTCTGCATGTCACTTGAAGTTCTATCAATCACAGGATCAAAACCTTCAAAACTTTATATCACAAAAAGTTTTATTTTTAGATCCTTCATTTTAAAACCTTTTCCTGATTTTTTTTTTTTTACATTATAACAATATTTTGTTCTTTTAACCTTGACTGCTACATATATCACAATTATAGAGGTACATGAGAAGGCACGTCTATTCATTCTAAGCAAAATAAGTAATCTAAATTATCTTTTTTTAGAATTAAGATTCGTATCATTTCACTATTATTCAAATTTTAAGAAAATCAAGATGTTTTCTCCGGAAGCACTGTATATTTTTACAGATGACGTACAATATGGTGGACCTTCTCCACTTGCCGCTGCTTTTCTCCTTTCTTTAGGAGCAATTGTCAATGGTGCAGGTAGTTTTTCTATTTTCTTTTCAACAAATAGGGAAATATTCTTCATATGTTGAGAGTCTGGGGGTCGTAACATAAAGGGTACTTAAGTCTAAGACCATGCTTAAGTAGGACTTAAGTACAGTCTTAAACTTAAGACCGTAACTAGAAACGTGCTAAGATTTGACAACCTTAGCAAAACTTAGGCGGCCGGTAGAGGTGACTTAAGTATGTCTTAACTTTCTTAAGCATATATTAAGAACTATTTAAGGTTGACTTTCTATGTTAAAACATTCCTCTATTTATATTATGCATAAAAAATAATTTTCTATATTTAATATACTGGTATAAGAATTTTAGTTTTTCGTCGGGGGGGGGGGGGGGGGTATTCATCACTGATTCTAATATCACTCTCTAAATGACATATACATGTAAATGCAAAATAATATTTTTGGGATATGTTTAAAATATTAGTGGGACCTAGGTTATAAGCACTATTCATTATAAGTAAATTGTATACAGTAATTGTTGCAGGGGTGGTTTATACTAAATGTAAATAGCTCAACTCCTGGCTAAGGGTTCATCATTATGTTTATTACTGATGTTCATGGAAAGTATTTATATAAACAAAAGTCCCCCTCATCATGCCAAATAATCTTTTGATCTTTTTTTTATCAATGTGAAATATGTACATATACTGAAATTTTTCAAAAAGAGACCATAAATATAAATTCTTTTTAACAGGAATTTCCCTCCTCCGTTCGTCAAATAACAGATACACAATACTTCGTGCTAAAGATCCTCAGATCCAATGTACAGAAAAGAACTGACTACTTTGTTTTATACATTTGCGAAGTCTTTGTATTGACCAAGCAGAGGAGTTATGCCTCTTGTGTTGTTAAGTCATGGCATCTACAAGTCTGTGGCACATTAATTTACAAGTCCGTATCGAACCACGGCATGGCTTGGTTGTTGCCAGACTGTTGAGGCAGACTTGACTCGAGATTCTCGAAATTGAGGTCCCCTGACTGTGCATTTGGTCCCAAGTCAGGCAGATTTTCCATCCCCCCATACTGACTTCCTCCCTGACTGCCAATGTCAAGACCCTGCATGGAGTCAATTGGGATTTGGTGTTCATAACCCCTGTTCATATCATTGCTGTGCATGCTTCCCTGGCTGTCATGATGTGGAGGCTGGTACATCTGATCCCTGTAGGAATCATCAGCAGGGGGCATCATGTGTCCTACATCCTCAAATCCTGGGGGCTGTACATCAGACCAGGGCATGTTTTGGTTGTCCCGGAACAGAGAGCTGGTCAGTTCTACAGATAGTCTCTTCTTGTAGTCCTGTGGCTTGTCCTCAGACATGCGGAAAAGTACAGCTGCTGCATATGTAGCGACGCCTTCATTTCTGGAGTGTAATAATTCAGTGAGTGGTGCAGTGGCTCCCTCTTGTTCAATAAGCTCAGCACCCTCCTTATCAGCTGCTAGTTCACACAGTACCCCCGCAGCCACACGCTGAATGTTCTCAATGGGAGAGTACAACAGCTGCACGAAAAGAGGAATGCCATTTAAGCCACGGATAACAGCTCTGTTGTGAGCCTCTCTGGCCAAAATGTGAAGTGCTCCCACAGTTCCTTCAACAATTTCCTCCATACGGACACCATCAACATACCCTGATCCCTGCCCATTGGAGCTGATAGAGGCTCTCCTCTGTGTGTCTTGATGGGCTCTGATGAGGAGATGAACGATTCTGGGCAGTGCTCCGTGTTCTCTCAGTGGGGCATGGTTTGCAGGGCATAGAGCCAGATTCCTGATGAGACCAACTACAGCCTTGATAAGTGGCCATCTGCTTGGTGGGTGAAGTAGCTTGACTAGAACAGGAAGTCCATAGTGTAGACGAACAGCATTCTGGGCCATCTCAGATTCTGGATGACGACTGGTCAAATGCCTCAATGCACACACAGCTGGTTCTGTGATGTCCTCGCGGTCTCCTGCCTGCAGGATGGTTCTGACCAAAGCCTCAATACCATTCACTTGACATACAATGACCTTGTTACGCTGGTTGTTACAGGTCAAGTTCGACAGGATTCCAGCAGCACACGTCACCACATTGAGATCGTTTGAGGAGAGAAGCTGGACAAGCATTTGTAAGATGCCTTCCATGTTTTCACATTTTGTTGCAGCATCTGACAAGTTTCTTATTGTCCACAAACAGTTCTGTTCCAGTCTCTGGCTTTGGTGTCCTAAGTGCATAGCCAAAGCCTGCATTCCTCCTGCTTCCACAATGGCTGGTTTGTTACTGGAGCAGACCGAGAGAACTTTGATGACTCGCGAGGTTGTCCACAGCAGTTTCTCGTATGTGTAAGATCTCATGATCCTCACCAGTTCACCAGGCCCACCACTGGCCAACACAATCAGCTTGCTTTCTTGATTTCCATAAGCCAGAATTTGTAGACAGTCTGTGGTTATAGCCAAGAACTTGACATTGTTCCTTTGCAGTAATGCCACCATTTTTTGTAGACCACCTGCTAATCGGACAGCCATCTTGGAACCTTCCTGGTGAAGCAGTAGGTTGTGGAGAGTTGTAATTGCGTAAAATAAGACAGATTCCAATGTTCATTTGTTCATGATCCTGCCTATTCATGATAGAATTATCTACGTCTGACTTCATGGACATATGCATTGTGGTAGAACTCACATTGTCACTAGTGTCTTTCTTTTTCACAGATTTCTGTCTCTTGTGTGAATTCTGTTTCTCCTCTGATTCCATAGAATTTCTGTTTTCCATAGGACAATCACTATTAACCAAGTGTTCTTGTTCCACTCTCCTCAAAGCCACTAACAGTTCTTCGAAACTTTGAATGCTGTCATACAGATATCCAGTTATGTGCTTCAGTGAAGGTTTAAGTCCAATCCACAACATGTTGTGTAGCATTAAATTCCTTTCTGTATGGTCAATGTCCTTAGTCTGACGTACTTTACACATAATATCCTCCAACCTACAACTCCATGATGTAACATTTTCACTGGGTTTCTGTTGTGCTGAATAAAATTCTGCAAGAATAGCCTCAGCCCTATCGACAAGTCCATATACACTGTCCAACCTAGCAAGAATGTCTGATAGAGTTGCTTCGACACCTAGGTTCATGACAGTTCTGCTGGCTTCTCCTTTCAGGGACTGTCGAATGGCTTGAAGTATTTTATCTGTAGGATATCCTTCTTGCATTAAGCATCGAACTTCATAGTGCCAAACCTGAAATGAAGTTGCACCTTTTCCCGAAAACAATGACAATTTAGGAATATGTATAGGCCAAACAAATTCATGATAATCTACCATCCAATCGATAAAACTTTGAGGTGAATCTACATTTGGTTTAACATCTAATTCTTTAAAAGCTGTGACAATATTGTCAATCTCTTTTGCTGAAAACTCCATGATACTACTGTATGTAATTTCACTATCACCTATGAGATGAAAACTCAGAGTGTCTATGGTGACATACAAAGTACACAAAATGGTACAGATCAGTGTGAAATACATATGTCAATTATTCTAAGTTCAATCATTCTCATAACACAAAGTACATGAGAGCAACACAAGCATGCAGCATAAAAACTATATATTTGCATAATCAATGTAAACAAACCCCTTCATGTAACCAAGCAGTATTTCCGGTATGTAAAGATGCACTTCCGGTTTGCAGAACATGTAAACAAATATGTGCAATTTTCAAAGACAAAAAAAAAATACACCTCAAAAAAATGTTTGTCAATGTATGCAAAGTATTTACTAATAATTCCTGGAAGAAAAAAAATAATAAATCTGCAATAAAGAATTACTGAAACAGAATTTTAATTACATGCTGAGAATGCTAACACTTCAATAGGAATTTGTTCCAACTTTAAGCTTGTCAAATAACAACACAAACACGTAAAGTTGACAGAGGTCTGTCAACGAAATTTGGTAATTGTATGGACTAAAATTTATTTAAGCTAACCCAGACGAACAAGTGTGATAGCAGTAAGTAAAATTAAACTTCACTGTATATTTTGAACCAATTACCTCACCTAAATGACTGAGAAAAGGAACAAAATATTCCTCTAACTTCTTCACGAAAACATCAAAACAAACCGATTTCCGGTGAAATTCTAGAAGCGGACCTCGAACCCGATCTCAATTATTGTGATCACAACACGATAACGGGCGCGGATCTCAGTACTTATTTCTACAGTAAATTTTAAATTACCTGTACAAAACTTGTGGGGTATAAAAGATGATTATGACACTGACAGACAAACACTGATCAGATTCTAGTAACTACATTCATTCGTCTGCAGTCTCTGCTTGCTGATATGTGAGGGAAAAAAATTCAAAATGTCCCTATTGTTTTGCACTTTTTTTTTTATTAGAGTTTCAATTAAAAGTGCATAGACGTTCAGTTATGTCTGCGAGAATGACAATTTGAAAGCAAGTGAACATTTGTCAAACGAAAGAATAACAACTAACGGTAAACTGAAAACATCACAGTCTCGAGTGATAAACAATATTCACGCATTTACTGAACCACATTTGTCAAACGAAAGAATATACAACAAACGGTTAACTGAAAACATCGCAGTCTCGAGTGATAAACAATATTCACGCATTTACTGAACCACTAGTGCCACCTTGTGACCGTGCAAGATTTGTTTTCAAATACATTGTATTTCGAATAATTTAAACAGAATTAACTTTAATTAAATACGAAATCTAATCTAACCTAGCTAAAACCGATAGGTAAGGACGTCAGCTTTAATATATATGTGATTAAAAACGGAACTAAATCATTTTTACAAATATATATATAAATAAATTGAAAAACTAGGATGATTCATAACAAATATTTTGAACATAAGTTTGACTTAGCTAAGACCTACCTAAGTCCGCTTTATGTTACGGTTTAAGACATACTTAAGTAGTACTTAGGCAGGTCTTAAGATTGCACCTAAAACATACTTATGACCCTACTTAAGTCAAAAACTTAGCAAGCTTTATGTTACGACCCCCTGGTCTATTAAGACAAAGTATCTAAAACCATGTCAAATTTTTTAATTGAAAAAAAAAATCAGGTCATGTAAAAATGCTGGCAGAGTTTCATGTTTTCCCTCGGGTTATTCTTATTTCGGCTGGAAGACCGACGGATTTTACTATAATGAGCGAGGAAGAGTTTCCACTACATGGACCGATCGAGGTATCAAACGTTATTCTTATAATAAAAAAACTTTCTATGAAGGTTTTTCATTTAATTAAATATTAATCAAACAGATCTTACAACGCTCATTCTTTCAAAATTTCTTCATGTTTCAGGTAATTTGAATTTTTTTTCTGTTGTCCCAGAACAGAAAGATATGTGTGAAGAAGAGATATTTACCGACATCTTTTATTTTTATTATTTAACAGGTTAAAGATCATTTCTATCAGGCTGCAAGAAAAATTGGAAGGCACCATCCAATATTTTGCATCCCAGTCAGCAAAAACCCAGACATGGTAGGAATGTCTACTAATACCGTTTAGTTAACTTACTTCATATACGATTATTATTGACTGGTGCTTACATACATTGTAAGTTTATATTTAAAGAAGATGACTATAAATAAATTTGTAAAAACTTCAGTCATGGTAAATATTTTTATAATCAAGTTAGTTTTTTAATGTTTAAATCGATAATGGAAAAAAATGTATATCTAAGAATTAATTTCTATGAAGCTTCCATTGACATCTTGAGATGATGACAAAATTAAGTACATTTTATCGACATAATTAAACAGAGTGTTATATAACTATTACATAATATTTTCCATCGTATGTTGAAATTTTGTAAAATTAGACGCCATATAATCAGTATCAGTTAAATTCCATATTAATATTTATCATATGATTGAATAATTCCAATCTCTCTGATTGGCGTCTGAGATCCAAGAATGTTAGAAAAATACTACGTTATATTGACCTGCACGTGATCTTCCAGGTCTATATCAGGAATTATTTATTCTACATTGGTCCAAAAATAAATAGGGAAATTCCAAATTGATGCAAATAGTTTTGGAAAATTATTTCTCTTGCACCTAAGCCTGACATCCACTCATATGATCATAACATTAAGGCACATACATTCTTGGGTGAGGGGTCGGGGGTTGGGGGGGAGTGGGGTTGCAGGAGGCCTGCCCCTCTCCCCACGTTTTGAGAATGTAAAGTTTTAATTTAAATTTTAAGGATAAAAAATTTCCATGAAAGCCACCTCCCCTCGAAAAGTTTATGGACCTTTACATCCAACCAAATAAAATTTTGATTAGGGAGAATTCTTTTCCTTTTTTTTGGGGGGGGGGGGGGGTAGTCAAAGATTTGTTTTCAGGTAAGTTGTCATTTTTTTCCCTTTAATGCCCCCCTTTTGAAAATCAATCATATATGTGTGACTGACATTTATTATTTCTACATTTCACCTAAACTAGTATTAAAAATAAAAAAAAATACAACTTGTTTTTTTTAAACCCCGTTTCTCTCATTTTTTTCGGCTAGTACTTCAATAGATGTGAACAAGTAAGATGGCACGGATTGCTTGATGAGTGTGTGTCATTTAATCATTGAATCATATAATAAAACAATTATTGCTGTTTTTTCGAAGCACAATATTTTCGAAGTACAATATTCACCTTGCCCTTCGGGCTCAGTGAATAATGTACTCCTTAGGTGTCTAAATCATCGTATTGACCTCAAAACCCAGCAATAATTGTATAATATATCACTGATATAATGATTCCATTCATGTCATGTAGTGTTGTTCACCAATACAATTATACCAATGCCAAAAGGATATTCTTTTTCAAATATATCATGAAACAAGAATATCAGCAGTCTCTATTAAAGTCATCATTTCGTAAGTTCTATGGTCGATACAATGACCTTGTCAGCAAATACAATATTTCACTAAGTCAAATGCTCACTGACTTTTTTTATACTAATTGTTAGGCCATTATTAATGCACTGAATTGTCGACGGATTTTTCCGTTATTTCCCGATCATGAAAGGGGCACACGGCGGGTTTGACCGGTCGGCAGGGGATGCTCACTCCTCCATGGCACCTAATCCCACCTCTGATGTCTTAGAGGTCCGTGTTTGCTCTGCTCCTATTTTGTAATGTTAAATGGACTTTTGAGCTCGAATACTGTTCGTTATCTCCACATATTTCATCATCAATTTGAGTTATTAGCAAGATGTATTTCTTGTACAAAGGACTTGAAGTAATCCTATCTGTTGTTTTTGTAATTGTAAGTAAGTATTACAACAAGATTCCAACACGTGTACATGTAATATTTACCCAACCCTAACTAACAATTTTTTTTTAAACTGATCACAGCAAAGGAATTTACATGGCGGTTGAAAGTCCCCTAACCTTTCCTAAATTTTCACTAAATTAATCATGCATTCGAAATAACATTCTCTTTCTTAAGCATAATGATTCAATGTGTTCACGATAAATTCGAATGAAAAGTCCTGCTGAAGCACGATGATTGCCAAGGTGTCACGTGATTGCTAATGTGTGAAACTTGCTGAATGACTACAATAGTGAATGTCGATGACGGCTCCCAACTACCACGTGTAACTTGTTTGACAAATAATTCTAATACGTAACTAAAGGATTAAATGGAATTATCCAAACAGAATCTGATAATTTTTGCGAGTTTCATAAGATTAGATAGCTATTGCTACTTCACGATAAAGTTATGTTGCTCAAATGAATGGCGGATAGATAGAAGGTACATTCAAATATTCAATGTTAATTACAAAGAAAAAAATAAAAACTAGGGGAAATAAACTTAAGGTGATTTTATAAAATATTAGAAAAAAAATTTCAAATATTTCCATTATAAACATTTAGATCTGAGTGTTCCTTCTTGATTTTAAGTTTTTTCCTGTATATATCATTATTTTTAACAGGCCAATTTAAGGTCCATATCTGCTCTTTCACGAGGAGGAAAAATCGTGTACCCACATGAAGCCAAACAGTTTGCCAAATATTCGGATAATATGGTAAATTAAGTTGATTCTGAATCATGTAAATACAAGCATAAAATTTTCTTTTATTCATATGATTATTAAAAGTATCATCGTTAGATGCTTTTGTAGAATACAAAACTGAGAATACACTACAGATTTGTCATCATTTTGTGTCCTTCTTCACGAAACTAACTTTTAAGTCCATCTCTTCTTCTATTTCAATCTTGACTTGAAACTAAGCAATCTAATTTTAAAGTTGTTAAGAAAAAGATCTTGTCACTTTTTGCACGCAAAAAATCTTCTATGATTAAAAGTCAAATTACATTATGAAAAATAATCCTTATAGAGGAATTTCATAAAACCACTAAAAATCCATCCCCATTGCACTCTTCATCTCTAGATTTGTCATAATGAACATTATTTCCCTCTCTTCTGCAGAAAGTTTTTTTTTTAGTTGTCAAAAAACATTGCTTAGCTGATATAAAATAAGTATTATGTTCAGGGAAAAATAGGTCTCCCGCTAAAGAAAATAAGTAGGTGAGGACATAGAGAAAATGGAGATGCAGATAAAGAAAGGAAGGAAGGAGTGACCTTTCATCTTCTGGCTTCAAGTTCAGTAGGGGGCTTTCTTACTGAGATAGAGTGATCACTATAAGTTTCATTGAATGATTTTCTGAGCTTGGCCTGTGATCTTTTAGCTTAAAAATGGATAGGGGTTTTATTTAGTCAAAGGAAGTTAGGGTATATAAAGATTCCTTGCTAAATCTGAAAGAGAACTTATCACGTGGAACCCATTTTTTTTTATATAAATTTGGAAAAATATTTTAACATTATCTTTGAACTTTTGACCTCAAAATCAATAGGTGATCTCTTTGAGGCATGGGGAATTATGGTTAAGGGTTTCATGAAAAAAAAATTTAGATGTCACCTGGAAACGAAAGTGTTACATAAAGACAGACAGACAAACCCAAATTAAAATTTCCCGCCTATACCATAAGCAGGGAAGATATAAACTTTACGTATTGTTTTATTTAGAGAGCAGCTGCAATAATATCCTATGCAACAGACAGAATTGAACTTAACAGAGGAATGATAGAACAAATGTTGG